CCGAATATGTTTCTGCAAAAAATTAATTAGAAATATTTGAATATATTGACAATACAATCATATATAAGTTCTTAATTGCTTTCATCATATCACTCTTATTTTATAGCTTCTTTGGCATCCATGTAAATAACTTAAGACTTCAATATATTTGCATAATTTCTTCTAAAGATTTTTAGTGTTTTTTTTAATCATTTTATCTAACATTATAAATTCTGATATTAGTTAACATCGTGAGTGTCATAGCTATGACTGAAAATTTACCAGCACCTATTATTATTTGTTTGACTATGTCATTTAAGATTATTACTACAGCTGCTGAGAGCATATGATTGCATATTTTAGATAAGCAAAACTTATCAACTGTGTAGTCGTTTATATATCATTAAAAATGGAAGATAATCTTTTAGAAATTTAATCACAATAATTTTCTCAATTACTTATCTAGTTTCAATCATGTCATCTAAGAGGGAGCTCTAACCACCATATAGTTTTATGATTTTTGGTCGTTTATATTTTCTTCTTCAAGAATTGCTGATTTGGTTAGGCATATAAATTTTTCCTTATTAGTCGATTCTACAAAACATTGTCTAAAAGGGTAACAGAGAGTTATATTAGTTTTATGACATTTTGTCAATGTAGGTTGCTAAGATTTATATTGCCTTATGTGTTTTTAAAAACCATTATCAATTGAGCCATATATATTAATTAACCTTTTTTTATCAATTGTAATTCTTTAGACGCAAAATTTTTTTATATCAGCAATCGAAAATATTTTATACTGTAATAAATAGATTTTGTATTAAATATTGTTTTTAGAAATGTGTTGTATTGTTTTATTTATTTATATGCCAGTTTATTTTGTATGCATAATATAATAAATGACAAAATATAAAAATAGAAGTAATTTTCAGAGTTGGCTAATTTTAAAAAAGTATAATATAGTAATATAAATCCCGGGCAAAAGCGGGGCCGAAGGCCCGCAAATTGTGGGGTATGGGAGTGAAGCCCCCCATAAATTTTTTTTTAGTTGAGCCCCCTGAGATTGTAAAAGCTAGCGACGCCCGTGTTTCCTGGACTCCTGAAATATGCCCTTTCATAACACTGTCACCATCATATGCTTGAGCAACGCAAATTGCATTTATGGAATTGTTGTTTAAGGTTGATATTAGTGTCTTGGTTAATGATTCTGCATCTAAGTTTTCAACTTTTTCAAAAGATATAAAAGATTTCTTTCGTGTTTTTGTTTTATGTTTATCAACATATCTAACACATATACTAAATTGTTCATATGGACAGCAAAATAACCTGCCTCCCTAATTTCTGAAGCTATGTACTTTAAGATTATGTTTCCCGCTGCAGATTGCATTCTGTTTAATATTTCACAATAATTCCTTTGATTTGCTTGTCTTACTTTCATGATGTCCTCTAAGGGGAAGTTCTAACTTACCACATAGTATTATATGAATAATCGTTTCAAATATTTTCTTCTTTCCATTATTGTTAATTTAGTTAGAGCTATAAATTTTTCTTTAATGGTCCCTTCTATTAAAGATTGTTTAAAATGGTTTCAGAGAATTACATTCGTTCTATGATCATTTGTTGCTCCGTGAGCTGTTAAGAATTCTTTTACCTTACGAAATTTTTAATAACCTATATCAAAGAGATAACCTTTTGAAATTGTGTGGGAAAATTACGACAAGGAAAACAAAAAATAGCGTTTTGGTAATGCTATATTCATTCCAAGGAAAGGATTTGTACCACTGAGGTTGAAAACATCTTCTATCTTTCCCCAATTCAGTATATGGATATGCACCTAATATTGGTTGCATAGATCCAATTGTTTTAGTACCCAGATCAAGCTCTTCTGAAAAAAGTTAAAATATTAATATATTAATTAAAATATTATTGCTTTTATGAAAATTATGACAAATATATATTTGAAGAAAAATATTGTTAAAATAAAAATAATACTTGTATAAGTTCTTCTAAAAAAGTGACAAATATTAATATATAAATTATAATAATATTATTTTTATATGAAAATTATGGCAAATATTATATATTTGAAGAAAAATATTTTTATAATGAAAAAAATACTTGTATGGTTGTCACTTTTAGATTGAGCCATGCGTTTAGCTTTTATTTTATAAATAAAATGTCTATATTAAATATAAATTAATTTACTTATTTTTTTTTTCTACTGTCCCTAGATTATTAACAATTCTCTCATTCACAATAAGTCTTTTTTCTTCATTGACCAAACAATCTAAATAAGATTAATTTTAAAATGTATTTCATCAAATATAATTTGTTCTAATACAACTCATACCTTTATATGGATTACTGCTACCAACAATCGGCTTGTTGTAGCATCCTTGTCAGATTACATGCCTATATAAAATTTTATATTTAATTATATTTAAAAAATTAATACATTCTGAGATATCTATACATTGGATCTTACATATATCTTCAGATTGACCCAAAGGTTTAGCTTCTATTATTTTATAAATAAAATATCTTATATTATATATTAATTAATTTACCTGTCTTTCTTTTAACCTTTTTGTTTTCAAAATTTTTATCTTTTAAAACCACAATTAATCGTCTTTCAATATCTAAAATATAGTTTGAAATTAAAAAACTGTATTAAATATACTTTGTTCACCACCAGCTTTATTATTGAACGCTTTGTTTTTTAAAAAAATTTTGATACACATGCATTTTAAAGTTTAAATAGTGATTTTGAACTCGGATAATTAAAATATTAAATTTGTTAATTATCAATTAATAAATTATTATATTTATTTAATTAGGATTTTAAAATATTTAAAATAATAAAAATCAATTAAACTTGAACTGTTAATGCTAAATTGATATTTAAACATTATGCATGGTATTGTATTGATATTCCATTTTTAATATAGAATTTGATTGCAAGCTGACATAGTAAAATATAATTAATCTAATCTAATAATTAAAATAGTAATCATTTAATAAAAATCTATATAGTCTTATTAATTTTTAAATAATAATATTAAATATATATTACTTAATAGAATTATAAAAGAAATCTTTCTTGGGGTAATTAAAAATTTATTTTTAGTTCAAGGGGAAGGAGCCTTTAAATAAAAATTTTCTTGCTTCAAAGGGCTATTCAAATTTTTTAGGGGGCTCGAGCCCCTGCGCACCCCCCCCCCCCCTAGCTTAAATTTCAAATCAGGTGATATATATATGATTTTTCGATTGTTGCCATTTATGCGTCATTGTAGTTTGTCTCCATTTGTGTAGTGTTGTTATACGGCTCGATTTGAGCCGATTTTTAAAAACGGCTAACTCCATATTTTATCTAGTAATATTACGCAAGCCTGAAAATTTTGCTCATAGATGACATAAAGGTCTAGACATCAATTAGCGAAATCTCGAGGCTTCGGTAATATTTTTTGGATAAAATATTGAGTTAGCACTTCTCCATTTTCTGACTTTTCAACTTCCGACTCTTTTCCACTTCCTTTCATAACTTTTCCATCCTATATCACATTTTTAGAGTTGATCGGCATATTTCCGATTGTTTCATTATTACTAACCGAATATTACATTACATATCTATACAGGTATAATGTCTCAAATTCTCTCATATGAGGCTGTTCATCATGCATGGGTTTCTTTTTATCTATTATTTTCTCGTCCTATCTCATTCATGATATTTAAATGTAACCACTCAATTTTTAGATTTCGCCACAATAATAGTTTTGTCGGTGATCGTTCAGCTGGTTGGCGGTGCTCGCCCATTTTGTATGCTCTCAAAGCGTTGCCTGTAGCTCCCTCTGGCTCCTTGGCATCTTCTTTCGTCTCGTTACAAATCGACTTATCAGTCCTTATTGTCCTTTCAGCTAAACCATTCTTGTTGGGGTGATATAGTGTGAATGTAATAATTAAATATTATTTCAGTGTACAAAATCTTCGAGACCCTCCGGAAAAAAAACTGTATCCATTATTTGAGACATTTTTTTCTTGGCTTTCTGAAACGTGCGAATTATTTTTTAACGCCCCCTGATCATTGCTAGAGACATGGTATCCTTTAACACGACGTCTACTTCATTTGGATTGTGCATCATTTCCAACTAACCATGAATGTGAGTCGATAGGCTTAGCGAAATTGGTAAATGTTTTTCCATTACATATTAGGGATGTTCCGCAAATTCATGAAACCTTCAGTATGCTTGACCAGTTACTTTGACAAGGAACGTATTGGCAGGAATGGGATGAATTCTCTTTTTAAATCCGTGAATATATAATATAAAATTTCACCTCAGCCAAATTACTAATTCCCATATATGTGAATAATAATCTTTATTTTTAGTTTCATTATTTACTAATATTTCCAAACCATCATCAATATAATCTTGAAAATTGGTGTTTATCGAAAATATCAAATTTTACCTAGGTTATATTTATTGCTTCTATACCCTTTACTTCATAAAGGTTGTTTGTTTAAACAATATTATACATCAAAATATTTGATTCATAACTCTTAGTCATTAGAATATTTGGTATGACACTTTTACCCATTATGGTGTTTGGGTTTTCATTTTTATTTATTATAAATATATTTTTCTTTCGTCGCCATTATAAAATATTGTAACTACATAGTTTTGGATAGCTTGTACCAATATGATAATTATAATAATATAATAAACCATATAACATTTATCAATAGCAAGAGATAATATCACAAAAATAATAAAATAATGAATATAATAAATGCACCGCGAGCAAATTTGTTATACGGACTTAATAGAGGGCGTAAACAAAATTTCAATAAAGGGTAACATTCATGAATATCCCTGATTGCCGCACCCTTTTAATTTAAAATAGAAATATTTTGTACGTATTGTTTATTGCTAAAGCATAAGCTACCCGAAACAGTCATATTTAATATTTAAAATTTTTTTTAAAAAAAATATAAAGCTTTGGTAATTCTTCATTTTTTTTAATAGAAAAGACGAATGAAAGAACAAGACGATGATTTGAAAATTTTATCGAAAACTTTTGACTCCTTGCAAATTCCTCCTTAATTTATACGAATAGTATATATATGTGCGTTTAATAAATTATAGGTCCGGACTACGCTGTTTTATTTTCTTTTTATACGCAAACATTTATTTAAATATTTTTATTTTGGGAGATATTTTGAAAGTGCTATGAAATTATATAACATTTGCTTAATTATTGATTTAATTTAAAAAGTTTGCAAAATTCTTTCTAAAAAAAGAACAAAAAAAAATAGCCTTACTTAAAAGGATACAAAATTAATTTATAATATAATAGATTATTAGCATTTAATACTATTAGAAATTGTTTCTCTGTAAAAAATTCATTAATAAGTTAATCGAGGCAGGTACAAACCGAATTTTTTTTATTCTCGGCCCACCCATTCATGTTGATAAGTATATTACGTCCATTAACGATCGATGCTTTTGGATATTTAAACCAAGACATTTCAAAAAATTAATATTTATTCATCAAAATAAAATGGAAATTTAAAAAAATTTCATGCCTTAACTAACAGTTGAAAAAACTTACTAGTGGCGCTTCTACACCAATCAGTCACGAAATTCTTATATCGTAAAAACTACTCGACCAAAATAAAAATAATTCTAGATTATAATTACTAACCGGTTTTGTGTAATATCCAATCTAGCATGACTTGGGCTGCTCTAAACCCCACCGAAGGGTTAATGATTAACTGGATAGAATTATAACCAAAGTTTTTTTTAATTTGTAAAAATTAACAAACATAAAAATAATCTAGTCCCTTATTTTATACATAAATTAAAAATTTTAATGTAACGCGACATTTTACAATCCCCAAAATATAACTATTACAGGCTATAGTTACCTCTTTTTAAATGTAACTGGTTAGAAATGTATATAGAATGATCATCTAATATATAATCTCTTTAATTTATAAGTGATCGTTTTCCTATCTTTTTAATGTTAATTTAATTTTATCTATCACTTTCCTATCATCTTATAATTATAAATTAAAGGAGACTATATAACCTCATGTTAAATTTTCGATCTATTCACTCGATCAATCTGGTCCACTATCCGGCCCGACCAAATCGAGTTCGAAATCGGTTTTAGATTAAGAATTGATTGCAAAAAAACCGCATATAAAATAAAATATATTTATCAGACCTGCAGAGGTACCATTTGCACGGCCCGGCCCGGTTTTAAATTTTTTAGGCCCGGCCCGGCCTGCATATTTTTTAAAAAAATTTTTACGGCCCGGCCCGGATATTTTTTAAAAATTTTTTTTAGGCCCGGCCCGGATTTAAAAATTTTAGGTCCGGCTCGGAATTTTTTAAAATTATATTCAACCTGGTATATACAAAAATTCACCTATGAGGTATTTTACCATATTTTTCAGCGAGTATTATCGCTTATTATTTAAAAAATACATGTAAAAAGCTAATATTTTGAGAATATTATATTGAATTTATAAAAATTATAAAACTGCTATTTATAAAAATGGATATTTTGAGCATATACTATATTTTATATTGCATTTAAAAAAAAATAAAACTAATATAATTTATAAAAATGGAAAATATTTTGAGAATATAATATATTGTATTTAATTTACTATTTAATTTATAAAATAAAAATAAATCACTATTTAAAAAAATGCATGTATAATAAATAGTATTTTGAAAATATAATCTAATTGCACAATATTAATATAATTTATTTTATAATATAAATTTTTAACAAAAAAAGATAATTGTATTATATAATATTGTAAAAAAAATAATGAAAAATGTTGGATTAAAAACTTTCATGACTCAAGGTAAATATAATAAATGCAATAAATATTTGACAGTTTGCAAAGTAAAAAACCAGCATGATTGACGAAACCCTATACTCAAGAAAGATATTAAAAATTCACAAATTATCATGAAGAAAGAGAAGCATATCTACCTTTTCAGGTTGAAGATTACTTCTTCTTCAAGAATTCTCCCAGTAGTGGAAAAATTCCGCTCACAGCTTGCACTTGAAGCAGGAATTGCCAATACACGTTTTGCCAATTTTGCTAAAATTGGAAATTCGCTTTGATGAGCCGCCCACCACTCTAACAAATTATCCACCTTAAATGTTTCATCTATTTATTTATTTATGTAATTATAATATTCATCATCGGATTACCATCCATTTGTCATAAAACGATTCAGTTTGTTTAACAACAGTCGTAATTTGACTGGTCGATGGTATTTCATTTACTTCCTGAGCCTCTTGTAATTTAATATAATCTTTTATATAGTTTTCCGTCATCTTGCGATCTGTCCCTGACAACATACGTAATTGCTTGAATTTGGGACAGAGAAAAAGAGAAATAAAATGATACTTGTGTAAAACAAATTTTTCAATTAAAAAATGCTTTATATTAAGTAAAATCAATTTTATTTCTCCTTTTTCGCTTTGATACGTATTAAAAACTTCAAGAAGTGATATTCCTTTATTTGTTGTTTTGGCAAAATATATTCTAAAAATTTAGATATGAATTATAAAAAAATATATTAATAATACTTGAATATTGGGGCTTATTTAAGATATTCCTTTATTTGATTGTTTTGGTAAAATATAAAAATTTAGATATGAATTATAAAAAAATATATTAATACTTTGAATAAATTTGTAGGAAATTAATAATTAGATCGATCTGTGGGTGTTAGGTAGTGTTAACCATCACCCAATATTATATTAATCATAACTATAATATAATATAATCTTATAACCATTAACTCATAATGTAAAAATTTTTATAAAAAATATTAAGGCCCGGCCTGGGTTTAACAATCTTAGGCCCGGCCCGGGTTTAACAATCTTAGGCCCGGCCCGGATATATTTTAAAAAAATTTTTTTAGGCCCGGCCCGGATATGTTTAAAAAAAATTTTTTTAGGCCCGGGTATATTTAAAAAATTTAAAATCTTAGGGCCGGGCCTGCAGGTCTCTGATATTTATTATATATGAAACAAATTTAATATTTTTTTTAATAGGTTTACTTTCTTCCAATATTAATGTTATTTTTTTACTCAAAGATATATTCGCTTACGATATCTATACAACTTTTTTTAATTGGATAAATTTCTTTCAAATTTTATTGGATAATTTTTTTTATAAAATAATTATATTGTGGATTAATCAGATTCAAACCATGAGATTAGGTTTTTCATGTTTCAAGGTAAATTATAATTCAATTTTATTAAGAAATATTACAAAAAAGAAATTTCTCTTTTATTGGTTTACTGAATTTTCTATCTGAAAGACCTTCTGTTCATTTATCTTGTCAACGGTGAATCATAATGATCAATATATATCAATAATTTGTTCATAATGAATGTAATGTAATTATAAGTTTTGTGTAAATAAAATTTCCTATACAAAATTAAGTTTAAGAATAAGATGAAGGGATAAATATTTTACCAAAATAACTAATATAAAAAATCTAACTGCTTATGTGAAAATGGGAGGGGGGTTGTATAATCAATACGAGAATGACTTTTCTTATGTGTAAAGGATTAGATAGATCAGCTAAAGGACTCAACATCTCAGAGACATTTTTTTAATTGGATGAAGTTTAATATATATTATATATTAAAAAAATTTAATTTTAGCTTTATAACAGTTAGATAAAGATGTAAAACAATATTATATGTGATTAGAATTGAGGATGTAAAACAAATAGGTAATTTTTTAATAATAGACAATGAAATTATATGAAGATGCAAAACAATATTTATATCTTATTTTATCTATAATAGAAGCATAAAATTATGTTTAGAATTTAAATATCCGTGATTTATATTTTCTCTTATTTTTATAAGGTATGGTAGAAAAGTATATATTTATACCTTTTATTTTTACATTATTTTAGGTAAGGCTATAGGGCTAATACTTATTCACGTGTTTTTTATATCTATACTAGCAGCTAACCCGTTGAATGATGGGTGAATCAAAGATTTCAACATCATTTGATGATGAATGAATTATAAATGTGTCTATCTCACAGGTATCAACCAAAAATGTAGTTTTATATGAGAGGTGGTTCCTAAATTTCAATTATTTAAAAAAAACGTTAATATACAGTATATTAGTACCTTCAATGTGAACAAATTTATGTATAAAGCAATAATAAATCATAAAAAAGCTATACAATCTAAAATAAAGTATGCAATCTGATAAAAAGAATGATGGGCAGGGATTCTAAATATAACTTTATTAAATTAATTTATGTATTATATTAAATCTATTTATCTGAACTAAAATCGAAGTATATATACATTATATAATTAAAAATAATAATGTTAAGTTGAATAATAAAATAAAGGTTTATCATAATAAATTGTAAAATATAGAATAACAGTATGAGATTATTTAATCTTCGAATGAATACATTACTATATATATATATTGACAATATATAAAATTGTTTCCTAGATATAACTAAAAAACATATCTTACAATATTAAATAATTCAATGTTTCTTATACCATAATACAATCTAAAGGTATGCAAAACCGCCATCTGATAATATTTTACAAATAAAGAGGTAAAATTATTTTAGCAAATTTCTGATTCATAATCAAACGAATTCTTGACGGGTTAGCTACTAGTACTGTTATAATTTGAAAAATCTGTGCAATCTTTTGTTTATTTGAATTTTGGGATTTATGTAATAAATATATATCGATTGATGATCTTTCTTCATAGAAATGATTTTGAAGTATAACTGTCTTACATTTTACTAAAAGTAACGTTTTTTACAGAGGAACACGATAGTAATAACGTTATTTTCTTTTGAGTAACGTCGATGTCTATAACATTTCCATTAAAAATACGACAATCTGTATGAATCATTTATTTTTCTAAAAAAAACTAATAATTTATGTATCTCTCTCAAGAAGCATAAATTTACATAAAAAAAATTCCAAATTTCTAAGAAAGGGGTTTTTCTCAATTTATAAAATTAAAAAGGCAATTATGAAAACATTTTTTTTACATTGCAATAAAGTACATTGAGGGGGGGGGCGCAGGGGCTCGAGCCCCCTGAAAAATTTGAAAAGCCACCTCAAAAATTTTAATTTTTTTATACTACTAAAAAAGGTAAGTTAACTAAAAATACTAAAGTAATTGTTAAAGTTATTAAAAAAAGTGTATTTTTTTTATGATATGATTTGAATATTTAAATGAAAGATGGATATTAAAGTTATCCTTAATGAACTAGAATGTACGGAGAATATTATTGTTTATTTTAAATTTTGCATAAACAATTTTTTTTTGAACTTAAATGTACGAATAATACTATAGATAATTGTAATTTTGAATATAAAATGTTTTTTTTTGCATATCAATTTTTTTATATATAAACTCGTAATTTTTAAAATTTTATTATTCGATTTTCATTTTGGATTTGTATTTGGAAATAATAAAGTCATATCCTTAAAAGTGATATCTTTAAAATGTATTATTAGATTTATATTGAATATATTTATCTAACTATTATTTATACTAAAACTTCCAAACACGACAGTAATTTTGGATAATGTTAGCTAAAAAAAGGTGATTTTGAATATAAAAATATTTTTTGAGCCCCTTGAGATTGTAAAGGTTAGTTAGATCCCTGCTGCAATATCATGGCTCCCTCTCTTATGAATACTCCAATGTCTCCTATATGTAACAAAACTAATATTTACAAAATGCAAATATCAAAACCAAAATTAATAGGAAAACAATATACCATATTTTTTAAAATATATTCTTTACACGAAATCGATATTTATTTTTTAGCTTTAATTAATTATATATCATTTTTTGTTTTTAAATACTTGGATATATTTTTTTCCGAGTGAAACTTGCATTTTCATTATAATTATTAGATTAAAATTCTTAAAATCGCGAAATTATTTTGTATAAGATAAAAAATTATATCAAAAAATGATGAGTTAAGTTTATTTTAGAAAGTGACTTTTAAGGTAAATAGTAATTTTTGAAGAAATATAACTAATTAATTACGAATTACTTTAAAAAACTATATAACTAGTAATTAGATATAACTATAAATAGTTAATATTCAAAAAATAACTCCAATAAAAATATTATAATTTTAAGCATTTTAATAAATTCATCATATGATTTTTGAAAATTTATGGGTAAAAAAAATATATATAAATTTGTGGTTTTCCTTTTGAGTATTTCCCTAACATTAGTGAATATCTTGAAAAGGTAAATGCGATTAGAAAGTTGACCACCAGACTAAGTGGCAACTGGCACCCACAAGAGTTTAAAATTATGCTTTCATCGATTATCTCTTTGTTTTAATTCGTATTGTGTTATATGATTTTCAATTGAGACAAATATATTTAACCGATATATTCAGCTGTTTATATTGCATTTAAAATGCAAAATTTTTAAATAAATCAAAAAATATTTTCTATTTTAAAAACGTTTAATATTTTATTATAAACTTAATTAAGCATCAACAAAACAAACAATAGATATTTTATTAAAACAGCGTAATTAATTGCAGATTTTTTTTCAAAAAAAATTAAAAATTTTTTAAAATCACTTTATTTAGAATCATCTACCTATATCTACCAAACCCTTTTAAGACCCTTGTGAGGGGGGGGGGGGTTGAGTATGAAGTGAGAATCGTTATCTAAGTATATAAGGGTGAGGGGGAGAAAAGGAGACATTATGATAATTTGGATTTGGTTCTAACTCTGAATACTTAGAGAGAAATATTGTTATTGACTTAGGCGGGATATAGAAATGCCTGCTACCTTTAAATTACGTATAGGTAGTTATAGAATGTATCTTAAATTGTGAATAGTAAATTAATTAATAATGTAAAATCGTAAGAACTTAGTTTCAAATTATAATTCTTTAATTACGAATATGTGGGAAATTCAATGCCTTTAAAAATGTAAGCGAATTTAATATTTTTGATCAATCGATTTTAACTTCTAACATGTTTTCATTTGAATAACTTTCGTAGGTCTTTCTTATATTTAAATCAAGGTTCAGGAAAAAAAAACATTAAGGGAGAAAACGTCAATGTAGAAAAAAAAGCTCGCAGTAATTTCCCCTAATTTGTCTAAATTATTATTAAAATATATATTTTTTTACTTTTTTATTTATATTATATATTAAAGATTGATCAATAAGAATTATTTTTGAAATTTATAATTTAGGTTGGGAGTCAAAAAAAATTAACTGCTTTTTTGGAGGAAGTTTTTCGGCAGGGGGGGGGGGGTGCGGTATTCTACTTCCATCTCAGAAAGTGTAGGGGCCGCTCCTACCCTTCTCATCTCTTTAATTCAGTGATAATATTGTATCATAACCGCCCCTCCCCTTCGTGCAAGAAGTAGAAATCCCTGACTACTATCTTTAGAAAAATATAATTACCAATTTTATTAAAAATTTTTGATTAACATAATCATCTAATATAATCTAATTAACCAATATTTTGCTGAAGTTTCCATTAACCATTCTTTTATAACTTCTCATTTTTTTAATGAGTTTATTTAGAAAAAATTAGCTTTTTCTTTTTTTATAAAAAATTAATTTCTAAATTCAATTTTGGTGTTTTATTTTTTTATTTATCTTTTTTTATATTAAAAAACAGACTTTTGTTTTATAGCCTTTTTTTCTACTTTTTTTTTCTATCCTTCCATACATATTTTACTACTAAATCTCCTGAAAATTTGGGCGATATAATTTTAAAGAAAGTTTAATCTCGTTCAAGAGATTCCATCATTAGTAGTTTGAAGGTTTAATCCAAGCTGATTTTAAAATTTTTTTTCAAAACATGGTCAGGTTTATTTCTATCAAATTTTGTTTGCGTCTGAACTTAATTTTAAAATGTAGGAAAAACTAGAGCAATCAGCAAACACCCTCCACTGGTTTTGAGATCCGTATACTATAACTTTTTATTGCCGCAATTTTAATACATTTTTATACCATTTTTTTGAATTGATTTCAACAATTATATTTTTTTCAATCATAGAATTTTACAATATTATTTCATATGGTTAGCCTTCATTTTATAAAAAGAAAAAATATCTTACCCAAATTTTCCGTATAATTTCTATTTTTTCTTTAAAAATATATATATATAATCTTGCATTTAAATATTGATTTTTAGCATTAAATTTAATAACTTCAAAAAAAATCTAGGTTAATATTATAAACTTTTTTTGTTTATTTTTCTTTTTTAGATATTTTATATATAAGGGAAGGGAAATTGGTTCACTTATGTTAATAATATCATCCTTATATCTTAACTGTTAGAAAAAGTAGGAACTAGGAAAGTAGGTTTTTTTTTAAAAAAAAATGATAAACTTAAAAATTAATAAAGTTATGGTGAGGGGGCAAAATGAGGGAAAATTTTCAATAAATGATTGTTTTAAATATTTTTCGAATAAAGCAGCTGTTCAATCTGTTTTTGAATACGACAAATTTTTCAACTACAAATTATAGGGTATTTTTGTAACAATTTTAATTTTCCTTATTGATTCTGTTACAATGTTCAAGTTCAGGCTTCATATTCATGTTGTAGTTAAGCTAGAGGTTGAAAATATTCTGGGACTAGCTTAATTGGTTTAAATTCTTAAATTATTTTATTAGTTTAGATCAAATAAAGAGTTACCTTTAAGTTTATTTTAAACTCAAACGTTTATTATAAAAAATGTATTTCTAATACTATTGGAAAAACGTTTTCGGAAAAAATCAAATTTTTAAATGTAAAAAAAAATACAGTATAAACACTTGTCCTATTTACCAAATATTCATTTAGCGCACCTTTTCAAATTTTTAAACTCGAAATTTTTTTTCCGGAAATGTATATCAGAATGTGTAGAATTATAAATTTTAACCAATTTTATATGGAATTTCATATATTGAATTAGCAAATACTAATTGAGGAATTGCTCGTAGCTACGAAATGCATCATATATATCCAATGCTTAGAGGACTGGATGAATTTGATAATTTAAGACAAAGAGTAGTTTAAATACAACTCTTTGGTTTGAGACGTCATGACATGATAAGGATTATGTGCCAAAAATGAGGAAAGGGAAAAGTGTTACAATATAATATAATATGTCCGTTCGATAATTTTAACATAGGGCGATTTTATTTAAAAAATCTAATTTGACAAAATCATGATCCCACTTGGAACCGAATAAAAGAAAAGAAATCATAGAAAAAGATAGATGGTTAAACACTACATACCAAAAAATATAATTGTTATTTTTATTCATTCCCTTTATTGACTGATCTAATAAGAAATATTTTTTAAAAAATCATATGGATAATATTTTCTATTCATGTCATATTTTCGTAATAGAATAAAATAAACATAATTAAATAATCAAAGTTAAAGCGGAATGATCTGAACATTTAAATTTAATGCATAACATTTAAGATAGCGAATAAAAATAAATATTTTGAATGAGATATCCTCCTAATTTTTTTTTAATTCGGGCGGTGGATCTCATATAAGCAGGGTGGGCCCTGGGTAGCCTCGGACCGAGAAAAATTGATTTCGTAGGTTTCAATTCACTTGCCCTAATATAAATTGAATTTATTTATATCGTTTATAAATTTATACTAATATTACATTAGTTTTGGTGATAATTTAATAATGTTCGATTCTAACAAATTTCGTATTTACAAAATCAAGGAAATATCGAAATAAATATAGATTAGATACTATTTTTATAATAATAAACGAATCTCATTTCACCTAAAAATATATTTTTTTAAGAATTATAATAATAAGAAAATAAAATATTTTTGTTAATAAAATTTATTATATATTTTTTTTAAAAATTAATTTATTCTATGATAATTAAATATAGGTAAACCCAATTTTTTTATGATCTTTTTTAAAATTATATTGTCAATTATAATTAAGATTTACTTTTATTAAAAACTTGTATCATGGATAGTATTTTTGAATAAGATACTTTTAGTAAATAATAGTATATTTTAGACAACTCAATATGTAAGTGGCGTAACACTCCATCTCCCCCGCACATTCGCAATTAATTAATGATTGCCTGCTACACCAGGGCATATATTCGATAATGGGATATACTTTAAATCGCCTCTTTAAATAGATCTCATCATCGAATATTCCAAAATTATTTGTAAAAAGAGGAATAGAGATATCACATTTTTAAATCTTTAATTCTGAACATTGTATCTTAAACAGAATAAATCAACTCAAGAATTTTTAAAATTTAATTATTACGCCATTTTAAGCTGAATAGTATTTTTATTTTTTGGATTTTCAGCAAATATTCGCTTTTATTTAAAAAAAAATGAATATTGAATTATTATTTATTTTCCTACCAAATAAGTGATTTGACCACCTATCAATTTTGTGATTTGATTTAAACTTTTTAAAAAAAATTGTCATTCAGCTTAATTTCTCCATAATTGGCTTTTCAAATTTAAATATCATAAAAATTCAGATCCAAAACTATTTTTTTTATATGTATTTATTTATAAAAACCATTAATTCTACTTATTCTAAATTTTATCACCTCGTTAATCTTTCCCAATATTTCAATCAATGACCTGTAGACGTTAACATTTTAGGCTCGGCTTGGCATTTGCTAGAAGAAAAATTTTCACTCCCTACCCGGCCATAATTCTTTTTGAAAATTTTTTTTCCCTCAGAACGAAATTTTAATGATCATTTTTTTAACCGTCTGATCCGGAATTTTTAAAAATTTATTAATTTAATTATAAATAATTTCTTAGTATTTTTGTGAATTTTTTTTTTCAAAATAGAAATTGATAATATGAGGTAAATGAAGATTTAAAAGCACCAAATATATGATTTTTCAACTGATTAATTGATATCATTAACGAATAAAAATCGAATGATAAAATATTCGTATTCGCCTTTTACAAACAAATCGAATGATTTAGTTCGTTTTCGTACGAATATTAATCGATTGGTATAATTACGAATAGTAAATTTTTCAATTCTTTCAATAGAATCGAATACGAATAATTATTATTCTATTTATTCGTATTCGTTTTTGAATAGGCCTAATTGATATTTTTTAAATTAAATTTATTTTTAATTGGCCCGGGTTTGTATAAAAAAAATCAGGCTCAGTTCTCTCATTTCGATTGATTCCTTATGATTTGTCTAGTTTTTACACATAGACCTGCGAGCCTATCTCTGATAATCAGTATAACTGACTTCGCCCGGAACAAGCATTAAATAGTATCAAATATCCGGGCCTATTATTGTTGCAAAAGTAGAAAATAAAATTTTTCTTCTGAAACTTACCTCTTGGACCAGATTTTGGATATGGTTAAAAAGTCGCCACCTCACACAGATATGGGATAGAAAGAAAATAAATGGGTAAATATTATTTGGTCGTTGTTTAATAAATTGCCTGCTCAACAATGTACATTATCGTTAGCCTTACGGGAATTTTTATTTCTATGGCTGACATGACAACTGATGATTTGAGTCATGTAATTCAAAACCTTCTGAATACCTATTTAATATAATCAATCATACCATCAATTGAATCATAATAAGAGAATCCTCTAAACTGTGGAATCATTCTAACATTTTTGAAAATATTTGACAAATTTTAATTAAAGGTAGAATCCTCTATTGTTCTAAGATGAGAATCCTGTCTTGCAGAACTCGAGGCATATATTTTTTTATTTTCAATCCTAATTCCTTAAATTTAATGTAATGAATAACAGATGCTGAAAACAAAATCATGTTTCCAACAATTAAAATTTTTTAGTGTACCTAAATTTAGCTTATCGGCATAGCAATTCACATAAATTGTCATTGCATGCTTAGTCCTAAACCGTTCCTGTACTACAGAAATATGGCTATCCTCACACTTGCGTCAAGGCTTATGGAATAATTTTTTATGTTTATTTTAAAATTGTTTTCTTTGTGATTTAATGTTAATCAATATCCACAAAAATCAGATGGTGATATGTCAACAGCATTATATCTGTTGAATCAATAAAAAAAATTTATTCTAAGACTTTAAAAAACATGATATAAGTCTTTTTCTAAAATATAAAATTAAAACATTTAAAAATATTGTGATACTTTTAAAACTTTTTAACGATTGGTTTTTCCAGATATATAAAAGTTTTGGTAGCAGCCTTAGCTGGGCTAAACAGCTTTTGAACTGCTAGGTTAAACAGCTTTTGAACTAGCACACCATATTAAAGATTGTTTGTGGAATTGTATTTTTTTTGTAATTTATTGTGCTTATGGTTTTATTGATTTTTTTCCCATTTATTAGTAGGCTGTTTAGTCGAGGTTTTAGAAATAAGTCGAATCAGGATACAGGCTCATTTAAAAAAAAATTTATTTCAAGGCACATATCCATTTTATTTTAGGGAAATTTGATTGATCAACTTTTTTACATATCATTTTATTTCCTCTCCCTTTTGATTTGGGCTAAAAATCAAAATTAACCCTATTTATCTTTGAGGCAAATATTAAAAGTCTTTGGTGCCTATGAAACTTCTTAAATTACCATAATGTTTGTTACTTAAATATTACATTTTATTTTTTTTGAAAAATGTCTTTCTCTCTGAGTTATAATCGTCTGTACAAAATTACGTAATCTGTACCTAAAGAGTTGAAATAAATTTTTTACATCTATGAAGTTTATAAATAAAGGATTAAGGATTATATTATTCATCGCTAACACTTCTAGCATAAGGGTGGGGTATGAAGCAAGATCGTCATTTGAATTAAATGGCATAGAGGGCAAGATAAAGGTTTCTTGAATTAATTTTACTAAAATAATTTCTTGTTTAAAAATGAGATTAAATTAACATATTTATTCATATTAAACAACAGTCATAATTATTACATTGATGACAGGCATTCTATCTAATTATGATCTTATTGAATTATGAACTTTTTGTGGTTTGATTATCTTGCGTGGGCGGGGCCCCTTCTTTACTACTTACCTAACTTAGGCATTGTCTAAAAGCGGCACAAACCAGGACGGCAGCAAGATAATCCCGATTGAAAACAAATTAAATCAGTATATGACATGACAAGAAGCATGCTCAAAGTCTAAAAGTGCTTAATTTATTGTGTTTTTCAACAAATCTAAACTTTTGCCTATGTGCGACATATATCTTAGTGCATGGGGATATAATATCAACTTTTATTATATTTACATCCTTTCTAGGATACTAAAGAATATTATGTATACATTATCAAATCAAATGTAACTAAGCAAAAAAATATGAAAAATAAAATCTACTTTTTAATCTTTTTTTTTTGTATACAAGTCAAGTAAAAATTATACAGTATAATTGTCTGTTTGACAGTTTATGTTATACATAATAATACTAATTTTGAATTAAATTCCATCTTTCCTTTATTTTTGTTTAGGAGAGAGATAATGGTGGAGTGCATTCCCATCCTCAAAACAAAATTTTATTAAAAATAAAAAGTTTTCAATTTAAATAGTTTTATTTTAAAATTTGCTGAATATATTTTATTGAATGCATTACTAGAAAAAGGTTGGAACGTCACTGAGACCCAACTTTGTGTTTTAGCGGAAAGGGAATTGAAATAATTTATAATCTGTGTTATGAACAAAAATCTTATCCCCTGCCCAATTGACCCATCCAAACAAATCTACCACAATCGATTGAAGAATGTGCGTAGTATATGTTCTAAAAACGCAGAAAATAAGGGGATCACGAATGGATATACTCCTGACATAAATCAACAATTGCTTGAAAACGCCAAAGAGGTTAGCCTAAATTCCAATCTTAATAATAATAAACAACTTTCAAATGGCCTCAAAAAACAATATTCGCATTGTCAAACTTTGGATGAAAATTGCGATGGCTATGATAATAATAATAACGATATCCATATCATAGGAGAGATGAATGGAGATACTAACGATGCTTCTTCCAAAATCAGTGAGAATTACTGTAATGATCACAAAGATAATATAAAAAATATCAATGGTAACAATAAAATGAGCGAAAATAATGATGATGTCAGAGTTTCTGAATCAAATACCTTTAATGAATTTGAAAACGTTAGGGATTTCGATATTTCTCCATGCCCATCTTCCAAAAATTATAATGATGATGGACCCGTATCAACCCATGTTCCCTCCAATTCTAGTCCTTCTCAAATACAACAAAAGGATACAACATTAACCAAGATATTTGTGGGTGGGCTACCATATCATACTACCGACGAATCTCTTAGAATTTTTTTTGAAGTTTTTGGGGACATCGAGGAGGCAGTTGTTATAACAGACAGGCAAACAGGCAAATCCCGAGGATATGGCTTTGTAAATAAAATTAATGTTTTTTTTTAAAATAATTGATTAAATTTTATTTTATTCCCTATATTACTATTTCTTTTCAATCTACCTTAAATTCAGTGATGAAGCAACCATAGAAGTAAGGTTAGATAACTGTAATTTTATCGCGTTAAAAAAAACTATATTTATACTACGTTAAAAAAAAAATTATCAGGAAGCAAAGTTAACATCACTTATTTTTTATAATATCTAAATAATTTGGGCAAAAGAGTATATCTAATCAGATTTTTGAAATTAATCTCCCACAGTAGATGATATAAAATTTAGATATTCCGAATATAAGCATTTTAATATTTCTTTTTATATGGCGACACAATAAAAAAAAAGATTAATTGCATATCTTAGAGTAGTAAACTTTACGTTTCGTCCCTAGAGTAGAGGAGTAAAATATAGCCTCATAGAGGTGGCGAATTTTTAAAAAAAAATCAGGGGCCTAACAAAATCTTAAATATAGTACATAATCTATCAATTTATCATCATTATATAGAAATGAAAACTTTATTCATAATATAATGAATAATCTATTAAAGCTAATATGATCTCCTAGTGTCTGTTAAATTAAAAAATATATAGAAATTTGTAAGTTTTCCTAATAGATAATAAATATTTTCCCCGAACACCCTTCCAACCTCGTCCCTTCCCCCCAAATAAATATAATATGTCATCAATCATATATTTAAAAAAACAAGTTCTTCAAAGGGGGGACCTTAATATATCCAATATGGTGATAAATATCCCAAATGTCGGCCAGCCCCCTCTCTCTCCTTACGAAAATCATGGATACGCCACTGGAATGAACTAATTATATCTTCTTATTTATCTAGCATATTGGTCATAGACCTGCCCAAAATGAGCGAACGTGAATTTTATGAAGGCCCACCTTTCATAAAATTATGCCGATTTTTTTTCTCAAGGATACCAACAAACCTTGTACCCAGTTGTAGTTTAACTAAATGAGTGGAACTTACCCGTTCCGATATTGTAATAGTGAGATTTAGTAATTATTATTATAAAGAAATATAAATCTTATCTGTTTTTGAGTCTTGAATAACCATATTCATGATAAAGAGTGAGTTAAGAATATTTGAATCCATAGACATCAAAATTCCATTTCATTTGTTAAGTCATATTCCTCCAAAAAACGAACCGGAAAATAAAAATAAAATAAATCAACAATTTCAACAATAATTATTAAAAGAAAAAATAATATATAAGATTAAAGAATTAAGGGTTTCATTAATGATATCGATAAATCGATTAAGTTTTATATTCATCCAAATTCTCTTTTCTAGAAGATTACAAAACAAGATTACACGAATGGAGTTCAAATTCAAACAACGATCAAATAAATTGAGCTAAACGCCGAATTTATTTATACATTGTGTATATATAATTTGAATTTTGTCTTCGAACATATAGTCAAATTTTTATGATATGTTAAAGTAAATGTAGGCTAGACCCAATATCAGTTTTAATAGATAGTAGTAAAGGAGGCCTTACCAAAGTCTGCAATAGACGGGGTTTTAGTTTGTATTCTCACGCTCACCTTTACTTTGGGTGGGTATGAGCGAGCGGATTAAACATGTTAAAAATTATAGGGGGGGGGGGGGGTAGAAATTTTTTTAAAAAATGGGTCAGCGGATAAATAAAATTTCAACCAAATGAACAGAACGAGCTTATATTTATTAAAAATTATTTTATTCCATAATGCATATTTTATTAGATTGTATATATATGAAAAATAAATAAATAAATTCAAAACCAATCAAATAATTTTAAAACATTGGGCAGGTGGGTTAAGCAAATTTGTAGATGAATGTAGGTGCGAGTAAATTTTTTTTTAAACCACGGATGAGTGAATCGAAAAATTTAAACAAAAGGTGGGCGAATGTTCTTGCTAAAAACTCGTCTGCAGACTAATATGAACTTTTTAAATCACAATACTGGTCTCCAATTTTTATAAATTTCTGGAGATCAGAAGAAATTCGATTCTTTGTAGAGTAACAAATTTAACCCAGCCTTGTAATAAATGACTGTGACCCTTCATCTTGATCAGACGCTACCATTAGATTCAGTTCTAAAAATAATATATTGTTTCCTGGAATCGTGTTAAATTTGTTTTATATAAATTTGCTTTAAAAATTGTAATCTTTTTTTTAAAAAAGAACTATTTCAATAAAAAAATTTATAAAAAAAATTATATATTCTTATTGCGGATAATATACCTGCACTAATTCATCCATTCTGCAATTTATTTTCGGAAAGGTAAAATATATTTTTTTCCTCCAAATTAAATTGGAATTTAATTTACAAAGTGTCCTAGACGCATTATCTGAAATGGATAGTTCAGGTAATATCTGTCATCCTGCCACTTCACAATATTTGTTTATAATAAGGGGAGGATGATAATATTTGGTAGGGAAATATGGAGATTATATCAGAAGAAGTGGAAATCGACGTCCTCAACCAAGATAGAAAAAATAATTATATGTTAAATAACGTAAAATTTTGATTTTTCATTATTCTCTACACAAGAAATAATCACTCTTGATTTTATTTGAGACTCAATTACTTCACTTATATAATACTCTATGTATAAACCTTTAATAAAACAAACGGAATTATACACTTAACAGAATAATCATGTTGCTCATGTCAAACTGAGATGAATTGATCCTCGGTATCATATCATATAGTAAATATTATACCTTGCCATAACGAACGATTCTATTGGCCTCACAAAGATCCTGTTTAAAGTTATTTCTAATAATGTGTCAAGTAACCGCTTTCCATAAATCAAACGATTTTTAAATCTTGCTGACAACACAACAATTGATATGAATGATCGATTAGTGAAAATAAACCCTTGTTAGGAGCTTCGGTTGATTTTTTTAAATAGAAATTAGGAACATTTATCAGTCAACGAAGATGATTTCTTACTATGGTCACAATGTAATAAAGATGTACAGTCTTTATATTTAACTCGGATATACAGTTAACTTTTATTTTTAACTAAATTTGAAAGTCCTATCTGAAGTGAAATTAAATTATTTAGCTATAGTTAACCTTTTTGATTAACTCGTCATTATTGATAACTAAATTTTATTAACTCGGTCTATCTTATAATTTAGCCATAAATATATGAATTTTAAATGATTATTGATTAAATTATACAGAATATGATTTATGATGGAATTTAATTTAAAAAAAAAATTAGTTTAATCTTAAAAAATAGTCCAAAGAATATACGATAGAGTAATAGGATATAGTTAACATTCGCTATCGTTTACTATTTTTTAGGTTCCCATGGAAGCTAACTATAACGATGTTTACTGTGCATGGAAAACTAAACGAATCTTTATTAAATTGTGGCCATAGTTAAGGAATCATCTATTCAAGAAATTTCTTCGTTTATCGTTGGTAACCCATAGGGGGTATTTCACGTCATAGACTCGGGAAGTTATAGGACACAGTCCTCTAGATTTCAGGCCAATGACACGGAGGTCCCTCTGATAACTAAAATAATTGAATTATAGAATGATATTTACAATGTTATTGACTAAAAGGATACCTCTTGACCCCCCCCCCCCTCGAAGCACTTCCCCTTAGGATTTTAATGATGTGATTGATTGTACTCTCATCATGTTAGAGGCCTGGGTATAGGTGGGCTGGTTAAAAAATTTAAAAACAACGATTGCATACCTCTAATACATCTATTATTTAACCGTAATAAGTGTTTAATAATATATTCTCGTGGTTTAAAATACACAAGCATTAGTTTTATATAAAATATTAAAATTTATTTTCCTCCTACATAAGAAATGATCAATGTTAGAATTTTTAGTATATTATGTAGGAGAGACACGCTTAGGATTTGTTGCATATTTATTATACGGTAGGTAGAGCATTCAAGATAATAACATAATAATGAGCAATTATCAGTCGAGATTTCCCTTGCCACTTAACTGGAAATTAATTCACAATCACCTATCTCCTCTATTGGCTTCCTATTGCTATGTGTTTGTTTTCTAACGAATTAACATAAGGCGTTTTAGAATTTAGATTTTTTTTGCAAAGTAAGGAGAAAAAATTTATAAGAAAGCCGTATTATAAATACGATTTATTTTACATTTAAAAAAAAATTATAAAGCAAAATCGTTCATTATTTTGGCTGAATTATCATCTGTTTGAAAAATATTCAATTAATTATTTTTTTTTAATTTATTTGAGGAAGATGTAATATTTTTTTACACCACGTCAATATTGGCCTTATCACAAATCTAAAAAATATATATTAAAAATATAAATACTACACATTCATAAACTTTTAATTAAATTTTGAAATATGCAGTTGTGAAATCGTAGTTGAATTTTAAATAACAATGATTTATACAATATTTCAAAATTAAGGAATATCTTTTAGTAGATATAGAAATTCCAACTTAACAATAAATTTTTATATGTTGGCCATAAACATAATATATTCGCTATATTGATATTTTATTAGTTGCTCATAAGAAAATATAATTTATATTTAAAAAAATTAAAACTCCAATAATATGAACCTCCTAAAGATTGCCATCTCATCTTAATGACGCAGGTAGCTATTATTTTTCTCATATTCCCCTCAAGGATCCCCTTTCCTCATAACCCTTATGCATCTATACCAGGTATGTCAACCCTCCCACAAAAAAAGGGTCCGGGTCCAGATCCGGGTTCAGGAATGAATTTTAAAAAAGGGTTCGCGTCCGAGTTCAGGGTTTAAAGATGATAAAGAAATATTGACTTAAAATTACACCATTTTTTTTCAATTTCTTTTTATACTCCGTATTAATAATAGACGTACATAATTTACAAGTAAAAAATTTAAAAATTAATTTATATTTTAAATGCTTCGCATACCCCTTAATATCGTTTATAATCAAATATTACCTACATTACAAAACATAGGCGTATCATAGATTTTGTGGGGGGGGGGGGGGGTCATTGTTAGGTAAGGTCTCCCTCCCATAAATTTTATTGGAGATCTTTAGGTACACTTGTTGTAGGCCTTGGTTATATCATAAAAATAATCTTAAGTTTTTACTTTTTTTTTCTAAAAATTTTGAATTATAATATATATTTAAAAAGTTATTAACTTTTACTAATTTATTTTTTTCATAATATATTTTTGGTGAGAGCTGTGTAGGAGGAAAATTTATATTACCATAAAATGATATTTACAAGAGCAGGCAAATTTCCGATGAGAAAGGGGGGGCGGCTTGGGCGCCTGCTACAAAACTTCCAAAATTTCACTTTCTAAATTGATATGAAACAAAATAATCAACGTATTCTTATTATATAGCATATTATAAAATTATCATTTATGATAAAATATTATTACCAACACTACTCACACAACCTCTAAAATTGATATAAAGGAGTATAAAAACCAATTTTTAAAATGGGAAGAGATAAAAAAAACTCTAAAGAAAAGTTAAATTAATATTTCATCAAAGGAAAAAAATTTTAATATTTTTTTTGACACCTAGAAACATTGAACACTCCACTTTTTAAAAGGGTCAGGACTTGGGTGCGGCCAAAATACCAGGGATCTATACTTTAATCGGTATACCACTTTCAATCTAAAAATTGCTGAATATTATAAGAAATATCACCTTAAAAGACGTAGAGAAAACGTCTTTAAATATATTATTTAACCAAGTTGTAACTTTTTAGCACGAATCTTATCAATATTGCGCTCTGGCACTATTGAAATAGATTATATGTTAGCACCAGTGAACCTGAATTGCATCGATAATAGGTATATCTTCGTTATTACGCCGATTTGACATAATTATATTGCTATTTATCTAGCAATTAAATTAAGGCACGCAATGGTAGGTATTTACTAAATACTGGCTTGGGTGTTTGCCTTAACCTAGAAAGGCACTCCAATAATCTACTCATTTTGGAATCACCATCTATACTTTGTCCGACAATGTAATTAGTTGCAAATGATATTAACTTTTATTTTTAACTCATATTTCATGTAAAGATAAATGTTTCATGGTGTATGCATGTATATATATATAGAATTTTACCTATTTTAATATACCTTGGCATACCATAAGTATCTCATATTTTTATGTATCATTTTTCCATCCATAGGCATATCCACAATTTTTGTAAAGAGGGGAGGAGATTTGTGATTGCTATTCCTCACTATAAATTTTATCGGATATCTCTCCGCTCTTTTTTTATAAAAAATAATTTTGGTTTCACACCCATTTCTTTTTTTTAAAAAAAAACAACTTATTTTCTCCAAAATTTCAGTTTTAAAAAATTATTAAACTTGCACATATTATTTCTTTGGAAAATATTGTTTAAATGACATGTTGTGACTGTGAGAATAATAGGGTGGGGTATTTATTAGGTATTTAAGAAAAGTGACAATTTTGAGGGTTCTTACTCCTTTGGTTTAATGTTGTTAAACGGCTCGTTTTGAGGCGATTTTTAAGAAAAATATTGCCTAAACCTTGAAATTTCGCTAATAGATGTCCAAATCTTTGTTCCTTCTACAAACAAAATCATCAGACTTGCGTAATATTATAGATGAAGTTAGCCGTTTTTAAAAATCGGCTCAAAACGAGCCGTTTAACAATAATACTGATTACGTTAATATTTTCATCAATATTTATGCATAAGTCAGTATAACTATAATATTGATGACAATATCTTTAACAATTCAAGTATTTTTTTTAATATGATAAAAGCCTTGAGCGCTATTAAATATTTAGTAGTACACAATTTGATATTCAATACTTCAGGCTTATCTTCCTTTTTTTTCTAGATGCAAATTCAGTTCAGGTTTATAAGTTTCATCATATTTTTCCGATTAGTATAGTTCCACATGATTTTGATTCCCTGTAATTTAATGTCTTCAAAAAATAGTGTCAAATCAAGATTAGTCTGGACAAACTTGCAAAAGAAAGGGCGCCGTTCAAATATATTTAAAATAAAAGCCATCCAAAATCTGTCCCATCTCCCAGTGCCTGATAGTTTTAACAACAGATCGATTTGTTCTATTTACTATACAGAACAAAAGCATCTTTTTTGATTTCACTGTAAAGTATTTTAAAATGGAACTGCATAGGTAATTTTTTCATATTCGGTCATCTGAAAAGTTAATTAATATTCATGTAAATTATATGTCGCGTTCTAATTTAATTATACCTTATTTATACCATCTTGAGAAGTCTGTGTTAAAAAATTGAGGTTACTCAAACCCCATCCCATTTAGGATGCTTTCTGTTGTATTTCGACAATCAAATCCAACCATCGGGGAGGGGGAGAGAACGACGGAGTTCGTAGGGCCGGGATTGTCGCAGAAGGGGACTGGGGGACCGGACTTAGCGGGCATGTTATGGTTTTACCAAAGTCCCGGCAAGAGTCGCTCAGAATGAAGTAAACCACCACATATAAACGAACAGACAGTTAGTTTCATAAAATTTTATTTCGTTAAGAATAGTCGCCACTAATAGTACAATTACAATAAGTCCATTAAAAATAATCGAATAAATATCATGACATAGATGTAAAACAAGTAGCTAATAAATTATTTCATAATCCCAATTTCATTTTTCTGGGCCTTTATATAGCCCCCTTTTACAATCATACAATAATCAATAAATATAAATTTCATGTCCTCGTCCATCTCGAAAACTGGCTAAAACCAGTTTTGAGGATGAAATCTAAACAAGCTCGGTATAAGTGAATATCGTACAAACAAGGAAAAATATAAATTGTAGGGTATAAGAAAAACACATCATTTATAAACGAATATTGTAATCAAAGAAAAATATGAATGGTAATACAAGAAAAACCCATCACTTATTAACGAATACCGTACAAACAAAGGATAAGATAAATTATAAACTAATTAAAAACACGACACTTTCATATAAATAAAAAATTAACCCTAAAATCAAAATAATCTTAACATTCCTTTATACATAAATCAATAAAAAGGTAACTATGTCTGATAAAACAGCTGCGGATAGAGCTGTTAAGGATGCTAATCCCATAATTGATGGCAGGAAAGCAAATGTTAATCTTGCCTACATTGGTGCTAAACCTAGAACAAATGGCTATGGTCCTATATTGGTTAATGGTATTATCGATTCTAATAATTCTACTCATTTGAATGGTGAGACATTTATTAATTTTTTTCATAAACTACTATATATAATTTTTTGTTTTTTGTTTTTATGAAATCGATTGTATTTTTAATATAATCATTATTATAACTACTCAGAATTTGCAGAAATATCTCATTTATGTTTATATCATATAATGGAGAAGGTTTAATTTTTTTAAAAAGAAGAACTGGATCTCCTTTGGTTTTAGAATTTATAACTGCCTGTGACTAAAAATAATTGAGTTTATAAGTAAGATTATTTCAAAGTTAGTGTCTCTCCAAAATTTATATTTTACAAAAAACCAAAAAGGTGTGAGTAAAAATTAAGACAAGTTAGGACACAACCTCAATGATTAAAACAATTCTTACTAATGAATTAATATCTCGCTGAGTTGTTATATCATTATATGGACTATGGGTTTTTTTAAAAATATATTTTTCTTTGGCTATAATTACCTTTTTTAATTATAAATTTTAATAATATTTTTGAAATATTCTTAAAAAGTTTAAATAACCGAAATTTAAAAAATCGAATTAAAATTTTTTCAATTCAATAATATTATGATGATGTCCTTGAAATGGTTTAAGCATTTGTTTGATTTACGTTTAAATTAAAAATATTGTATTTGTATAATATTATTGAGTTTGTATTTGAAAACAGCCTATTTTTATTATGATTTTCCTAACCGCTATCATAAAATAAACTCTAAAAAAAAAATATAATTTTTTGATTTTTGAAATTAGAATTCTTATACATACATGAAGCTAATGAATTTGAAATATTCAAAAATTATATATTTTTGAATGCCAATATTATTCAAAATATTTTCATATTCGAGCAAAGAGTTTCTTTAGCACTTAAATTAAATTAACTCTTGCATCTAAGATGAGCTAGCAGCGTCATTGACAATCTGAGTTCTGAAATATCTATTTTTATTTAAAATTTATAATGAACTAAAATTCTTATCATATATAGCTTTTATTCCTGGAAAGCATCCTTCTATAGAAGTGTAGCGTTTCAAACTTGCAAAGTATATATACAGGGTTGCACAGTATTGCGGTTACTTTTATCTTTCTGAATATTACCTAAAGTATTATAAGATACACATTTTTGAAAAGTATTTATGCCGTCAATTTAAATTATAACAGTTACTTTTATCCTTGCCTTCTAGGTTCTGATATCTATACCAGATCGAGTGAACCGTATGGGCCTAATATCATATTTTCTAAAGGGTCGTTTTTTTAATGTGTTTGGGCTTAGCTTAGGCCTAAAATTATTATATTTAGCTTATTTAAAACAGTTGCTAACTTAAAGAAATATTGCCATTTTTTTCTTTTAATAATGAATTTCAGTATTGTAAACAAAATGATTGCCTAAATACATTTAAATATTGTTTATCTTTACTAAATACATTAAATTAAATTTTTGGATATAGGTTTGGGCCGGGCTTGGAAAATTTTTTGAAACTTATTTTGGACTTGGGAATTTTTTTAAATATTTGATAGGGGCCGGATCGGGCTTTGGGGGCCTGACTTTGTCAAAAAATTATGGCCCTTAAATGTCACTGATCTATATTGATCCTAAAAAAAATTCTAAGAAAGAAAGAAGAAGAAGAATCTAAACGACTTTGGCAAACTTATTTTATCATTTATTTTTGTTTCAAATAACATTGAATATTAATTTCGAAAAACTATTCATTTTTTTACTAATGGTGCAGGACTCGCATTCGGCAAAGAGTCTCATACTAAAAAAGATATTTTAGAGGTGATAGATGTTATCTTTTAAACAAATTTCAAAATTGTAAAACTTTAGAATTATACATTTAAGGCATAAGCCTAGCCAACCACATAAGTCCTTCCCGTATGACTATACTATAGTTAATAAATATTAAGTAGCTAAGATTAGGTTCAATGATGTATATATTTACAAATATGCAGATTCATTAATTAAATATGTCAATACATAGGAGTCAGCTGTAGCCTCATTTTGTGGTTTGCGTTTCGGCTAATGGTCTTTATTTATTATTATATGAATGCATATTAATGTCATTTAATCGCAAGCAAACAATATGTCGGGATACTTCTCGTTAATCGAGTAATATATATTTCATTGATCAGGCCTTGATCCATAGTAGATTCATTATTAAAACTAATTTTGAATATTTTTTTTATCTAATAATCTTAATTTTTTTATCAATTTCTTGGCTGAATATTAATATTTTAAAAAAAACGAAATTAAAATAACCATTTGAATTTAATTAAAATACGTTGATAGCCTCAAATGTGTTTAATAACCTCCAAAAAAATATTCGTTTATTTTATAAAAAAAACAATTTTAAAAGAAATCAAAATAGATGAAAGAAAAAACTAAAAAATTGCAAAAAATTATTCATTATAATTCGGTTTAAATTATTTAAAATTCAGTTTCGGTTACAATCCTTGAATAATAACACTGTAAATATTATATTTCATTATTAAATGAACAATTAAGGTGTTAATTTTTATATTTTATTTCATTCTAACGTTTTAAAAAATAAAGGTGTTACTTTTTCGTTACCTTGTAAAAACGTAATGTATTACTCGTTACTCAAAGATGTAACTCATTACTCGTCACTCAAAAAGTAACGCATTAATCGAAAAAGTAACGCATTACTCGTTAGTCGAAAAAGTAACGCTTTACTTAAAATATACTAAGTAATAATTTCCCTAGATAATATAAATAAATTATACTTAAATAATATATTGTAAGTTCTTATAATAATTCTTTAAGGTTATTTAACAAAAATTTATTTTAAATTTTGACCAGACAAACAAGAGCACTATTTTAAGTTCTTATAATAATTCTTTAAAGTTATTTTTTTAACAAAAATTGATTTTCAAAAATTTTGACCTGACAAACAAGAGCGCTTAGTGCTCAACACAGTTTTTGTTGTGGTAAACACACGAACTGGCACAGTAGATTGAGGGGGGGGGGGTGTATAATATTTAATAAATAAAATTAATTAGGGGAATTTATTTTAAATATTTAAAGAATGATCCTTATTTTCAAAAATATTTTTTTAGATCTTCATCAGAAAAATCTTCCTTCAGATCCTCATCGAATTTTTTTAATTTAGCAGAAGTTACTCTTGTATTTGTGTTATTTAAAAAAAACCAATTCCGATTTTTGTTTGTATTTATTAAAATTCTCAAACTGAAAAAAAGTTCTACTATTTCAGTATAAAAATTTTCTTTGTTTCGCAAATTGCTAAACTTGGCACCGTTAAACATTAACCGAAAATTTAGGGTTGTTGATCTGAATTGAAAACTGCTTAAACAATTTATTAAATTAAAATATATGATAATTATTTTCCATATTTTAAAAAAGCGAGTAATGTTTTGCGTTATCAAATATTTAAATTCAAATATTTAATAAATAAGTGAAAATTCAAACCATTTTCCTTAATTTTTTTTTTTATTAAATGCTATATTATAAATTGAAATCTCTGATGATTTTTTGATAAGTTAAATTATTTAATAAATCAAGTAATTATTAATAAAAATTGTCTGATATTAGGTTATTTTTTAAAAATTTTTATTTAGTGTTTATGCATTTGATCTAATAAATTATAATCTATATTAGGAATCAACATACCACTGGGGGCAATATACACCGGATTATTACCTAATGCCAATGGAGGGTATGATAATTTTATAAGTAATTTTATAAAAAATAATAATAATATAGCTTATCACATATAATGTACAATCCTTTGACTACGCAAGTTTTAAACGCAAACTCTTATTTAAATAGTCCCAACGTTTATACCAATCTAGCACCTTCTATAAATCCACATCAACAAACGTTGGTCAATTCATTATTAAATCAAGGAAATGGTATTATTGTTTATTAAAAAATATTTAGGTTATTATTTTATTTTTTAAACAACATATAGGTTTATTATCATCTAACTCCTCGACAAATATTACGCCGCAACATTATATTTTGCCTCTAGAATACGGCTTAGCCAGTCTCGGCGGTGTAAATGCAATTAATTTAATCTCAAACGGAAATCCAATTCCTATAAATTCCGATAATTTTATGGGAATACACCACTTAAATTCCCTCGAATCTGATCAGATATATGGTCATAATGGATTGTTACAATCAAATCTTGCGAATAGTTCTTTATATCTATCTCCCGGAGCAAATTATTATAATGCGCAATCGCCTAACAATTTAATAGCCCTAACGACAAATACTCGGGGTTTAAATGAAATAGGTAACGGGAACTATCCATCTGCTCGAAATGCCAACGTCGTTAATAATTCTTCCCACCTGAATGGGAGAGGAGACACTATAAATTCTTCCAGCATAAATTCATCTTTGTCTAGTCAAGCAGGAAATATGAGTCCCTATGGGTTGAACGTCAATCGAGGAGCTATGCAAGGGTATTCTAATTGTTCTTCTCCGACTTCTTCGACATTTCATAATGGCGTACCTATAATCAGATCAGGATCATATTTTATAAATGAATAAAAATTTAGATCCACTATATAATAATATAATATTATAAATGCAATAATATATTTATAATGCAAATAAAATATTAATTACATATGTTATACTTTATTAATTATGTACCATATTGAAATATCTTTAGTTTATACATTTATTAGTAAATCTATAAAAAAAATGCAATAAAATTTATATAAATATAAATTATATTATAAAACTAATATAGATGGTACCATCTTTAGTCACAATTTTGATAATAATTATAATACAACTATTTAATTACATTAATTTTATATATTTTAATACAAAACTTTGTATATCTTATATCTATTATATTTATAGATTATATATATATAATGCATTTAAAGATAATAAAATAAATTACTCTTATATGATTGATGATACATCAAAATATCCCTCATTGGTTCATATACACCCGGGCTCGTACGCTGGAATTCGCTATCTGTGAGAGCGGGGGGGGGGGGGAGGTAATTAAAACAAATTTAAAAATTATCTTAGGAGTTATTTTAAAATATCTTAAGTTTCAGAAATTTATTCTGTCTAGAGGCTACACAATATTGACAATTTATGATACACAAATTCAAATATAAACTAATGATAAAATATTAAATATAAAAATGTCTCAAAAAAGAACTTTTATAAATTTTTTAAGCATTTAAAATTTGATATATAAATTTAAATTTTTTTAAAAAAAGTTGGAAAAATGAGTAATGTACATAAATATTATTAAGAATTATTCATTAAAAAAAACTGGAAAAAATATAATTAAGAAGCATATTATAAATTTATAATGTAAAATTCACTCTTCTTGGGGAAAATTTTCGATGATTTTATCAGTACTTGGTGTCAACTCTATAAATGGCTAACCCATTCAATTTATTATTAAAGGTAGTATTTCTCAGTAGTGTTGTTAAGCTGCTGATTTGAGTCGATTTTTAAAGGTTGGCTCAATATTTATCTAGAAAAAATATACACAAGCACTCGAAACTTAGGCAATATTTTTTTACATATCAACTCAAATCGAGCCATTATACTACTTCTCAAGGTATGTTTTTATTCTTGTTAAAGAAGAAAATGTTCTTTCTTTGGTAGAAATACTAATGGGTAGAGTTTCCAAAATATATGTATGTGTTTGAAAGCATAGATAACATTGTTTGGAATATTACTAATCATATTTAACTGTTTATACCATTATACCATAGTTTGCATTTATCTAGTAATGTATCAGAGGATACTTGAACATCCTCATAATAAAAAACTGTCAAATATTAAAAAAAATTGTCCTGTCAAAATTTGAAATAGATTAGAAAAGATTCTGCGATAATAATATTTGCAGATTTTTAAGTGCTGCAAATGAATCAAGAACCTTTCCTTCATTTGAGTTGTAAAAGTATCCAAGAGAGGGATAAAGAGATTTATTCTATAGTATTCGTTTACTGACCCTCTACACTACATTTATATTGAAATGGGTTTGCCTTGCTGTGAGTCTAGGTAAACAAATATATAATTCATGGTTACTCAGCCTTAGCAAATGTCATAAAATCATATGTCCTATAAAAGTAGACTTAATAGAACTAGAGCCCTCCGCGGGCTGTCCGAAGCCCTACCCTATCTGAACTTGAACATTGAAGATTAAATATGAAATATCCTCAATATGTTACATCGAAATGTCTATCAGAATCACGTCATTTTTTATCTAACACATTTTACTCATTCATTTACGTAATTTCCATTTCCCAAATTAACATTTTCCTGTGATTGGCCAACATAAAATCCAGAATATTAATCTTTTGTAAATGTTAAAAAATATTTTCACTTGATAATTTTAATTTTATCGAAAATCAATTCAATGCCCCCGATTTTTATATTTATAAAATTGAGTGGTTAAATATACTTATATCTAAGGTTACAATATGTGAATAAATACACACTATTTTACATTTTTCCTTAGATATTATAATATTTAAAGTCAAATTACAAAAAATTTTTTCGGGCATAAATCCTTCCGGAGAATACTCTTGGACCTCAAAGGTGTGAGCAACTACCTTATTTTCTATAATATTTATATTTTAAACTGAATCGAAAAGTGTAAGAAAATCATTAAAATTCATTATCAACCACACGGTCGATTGCATTTTTTTGAAAATTCGTAGAAAATAATGGGTTTTTCTTAAACAAGATTTCGAATAATGGTTTAAATTATTTTAAAAGGACCCTTCATTGTACTATTAACTCAATTTGAATTATTTCAATCTTGCTTTTCCTTCTTTCGGTACTGATTGAGGTTGATGGGGATAAGTGATAAAATTTATCACAATAACAAAGGGAAAAGAAGAAAGATCACAAAGAATGAATAATCCAATTAGATAATATTTCATTATATGGATTGTTGTCTTGATTTTCATCAAATAAATCGAATATATGTCATGCGCTTTCGGCTGAATATCGCCAATGTATAATAATATCTTATAGTTGTCATTCTTATAGATATGGCCAAATTCTTTCATTTCCATAAGAACTCCTATCGAATTAAATTGATGAGGTGAAAAAATATCTATACTGATTCGTAAGACATTCAGTTTCATGATACAAATCTAATAAAATATGGAGGGCATCCTTTTTTTATGGATTAAGTTAAATATATTATGTTAATTTTTATATCCTGAATGTTCAAAATCATATAAGAAACCTCTAAGAATTTTTTTTAAGATTTTTAACATAGGCTCTTTTATCTAATAATATATTATTTACAAAAAAAAAGATGAACATAATTTTAATAATTTTTAATTCAACAAGGCATTATTTTTTTGCCAGAATATGTATTATATTACAAAACTAGTGTGGTTAAACGATTGGATTTTTAAAAAGGGCGAATCCAATATTTCGGCCAAAATGTTATTGCAAGCCTGTAGATTTTGTTCATAGATGGCACGGCTAATTTCGGTTCGGGCCTAATATTTTTAAAAAAAATCTGACATCGGGCTCAAATAAGATATCTTTAAATTTGTGAAACAAATTGATATATTTTTTGTTTAAATAGATTCGGGCCGGGCGGACAAATAATCTCAATTTTTCGGGTCGGGTATTACAGGACAAATAAAAAAAATTTCGTTCTAGATCGAACAGGGCAGAACTAATTTTTTAAAATAATTTTCGGACTGTGCTTAAAAAATTAGGCTTGATGCAGATCACTAGGCAACATTGTGTCGTATTGCTACTTGCTAGGTATAAAATAAAATAACGAGAAATGTACATTTTTATTTTTTTTTTAATTTATAATAATCTATTTTTAAACAATTAAAATGGATTTTAAGTAATTTTTGCCATTTGGATTTAATTTCTGACAGAATTAAACTATCCCTCCTAAGATTTCAATGGAAACCGCGTCATAATCACACCTACCCCCACTTCCGGCTCTAGTGTTTGTTATTATTGTACAATAAACATTAGCTATTGTTAGAATTTTTGGCGATAGATTTCATAGATCTGGAACAAAGGAACGTTATGAGATTGGAAATTTGCGTAGATTTATAGAAAGGAATAGTATATTCCGGAACCTTCTTAAAAATCTAATAAAATTATAATATATAAATAAGATAAATGTTGTATCTCACTATTACACATTCTTATTTTTCTTGATAATTATTTTAAAATTTATATTGATTGAAATGCCAATTAATAGATATATAATTATATTAATAACTGTTAAACTATGAGATGTAATAATTGATCCATATTAATAAAATGTGTTGATTAGAAGATATTAATTAGATATTTTCCCAGGAACGCTTTGAAGCTCGAAGCGGAACACTTTTTTTTAGCCGAAACTGGAATGAAACACAAAAAGACTGCCCGGGTCCCTAGTACATTTTTATAGTTTTAGTAGGACCATCTTAAAACAAACTTCCGACCTGGTAAAAAAGAGGCCGTCTGTCACTTATGTCTCAGAAAATCATCAAATAATCCCAGTTAATAAAATCAACATATTTTATATTCTCTGTTCCTCCAAAATTTAGGAATTTATGATGGGAGTAAATAAATATTTACGCTTGTTCCTTGATTCGAATTCTAAGAATTTGCTAAATATTTTATCATTGTCCGGCACATCACCCTACCTTGGAAGAAACTCTTCTTTTTTTTAATGGTAAAAATTTTAAATTATCGTCAGCGAATTAATAACAAATACATAACTTTTTATATTATAAAAATGTAAAGCTTTTAATTTCTCCACGCAACTTTTCAGTTATATATTTAAAAATATTTATGTTCGCAAATATAAAATACACTGGTTGAAATTCTATTTAGAAGATAATAAAACAAACCAAAATGAAAAATTTTAAAGTTAAAAACAAAAATAATTATTTAAAGACCATGGCAAAAGCACATTAAAAGAATTTTATATTTAGTTCATTGTAAATTTCGCCGAAATTATCTGGGACTGTGAATTCAGAAATTTAAAATTGTTTAAATTTATCGGCAACCCATCAAACCCGAGATATTTTCGGACCAAAGACCCTATTAGAAATATGGTTGTTTGTGCTACCAAAATTTCTAAATAGAATAAATTCCTAAACCCTAATTTGAATTCATTATTTTTAGCGAGGAACAATAAGGCGTGGTTCAAATAACTCCAGTCTAAATTTTTTTCAATAAAAGTGATCATCTGCAATCTGCATACAGATATCAAAATCAATAATATAGTGAAAGCTAAATAGAATAAATTCCTAAACCCTAATTTGGATTTTAGCGAGGAACAATAAGGCGTGGTTCAAATTACTCCACAGTCTAAATTTTTTTCAATAAAAGTGATCATCTGCAATCTGCATACAGATATCAAAATCAATAATATAGTGAAAGCTAAATGTAATATATGCTCAACTAAAAATAAAATAATAAATGGAGTGAATTAATTTTTCAACAATTTATTATGCTGTGTAAAATGGTGATATTAATTATATTTGAAATTATTATATAATTTATTAGTTTCTACTATAGATCATAGGCATATTCAGGATTTTGCTGGGGGTGGGGCACTATTAGGTGGGGTCTCATAAATTGAGGTTTTTAGGTCCACTCATTGTAAGCCATTGGCTCTATTAGATTAAAATAATTTTGGGGTTTCACGTTTTTTAAATAAAAATGCCCTTTCTAATAATATTGAATTATAGATATTAAAAGTTATTAACTTTTACTAATTTTTCTTTCAAATTCTTCTTTATAGTGATATATGGTATATATTTTGGGAAAAAAGGGGTTGGGTCATGTGTAGGGGGAATTTTTTTTATTAACTTAAAATTATATTTTAATAAAAAAGGCAAATTTGCAATGGGGGGGGGGGGGTTTCCCACTTGGTTACATGTCTGCTATAGATATTCTATAATTTTTGAAAATGGTTAAAAATAAAAACATTAAATTTAAAAAAAATAATATTCCACAAGTTAGGACAATTGTATCTTAATGCCTAAGGAGTAAAAACATAAAATCAAGGGCAATCTAATATTTTTTTATTGTTCTGAAAAAATCAATTTATTAAATGCTAAACATGGAAAAATAAATAAAATAGGGTTCAGATTTAGGTTCATATATCTAATATTTATCAGTCTAGGGGAAAGAGTCCCAATCTCAGGTTAAGAATGATGCATCCAATGATTAAAATAAAAGAACTAAAATTTTAATTTTCAATAAATTTTTATATTAAAAAAACAAAATTTACAATATTGGAAGCTAAATTATATTAGAAATATTATGTTATAATTATAGTCACAAATTGGTTTATATTAATGATATAATATAAGTTCAAATAAATATAAATCTTATATTTTAATTCTATAAACTCATATTTTATTATCAAAAACGAATATTAGGTTAAAATTTCAAATTGATTCACTTTAAATTATATATGTAAAATAATAAATTAGTATTATTTTTCATTCAAATCCTTCATCATCTTTTTATGATATTTAATAGCTTCAGCATGCTTTTTCATAGCCTCTTCGTGTATTCCTATTTCCATGTTATGTTGAGTTTTAATTGTATCTAATTGATGTTTTTGCTATTAGAAACAATAAATGCTTAAGAGTATATATTTTAAAAAACCAATTTTCTAAAATATTCTTCCTCTCTTGCAGCACCCATTTCACCAAATTTTCCCCCAGCTTCTCTACAATTTCAAAGCTATAAATAAATATTGCTATAAATACCTAATGGATCCACCACCTCCACCTCCCTATGAAAAATTTATTTAATATTTGTAATATAATTATACGCTTGTTGCACCACTACCAAAGTCACCTTTTGTCATATATCTTGTTAATCTGTTTAAAAAATATTAGAACTTTCTAAATCATAAGTACTTTAAGCCTTTGACAACTTTTAGCAAATTTGGCAATTGCATACTAAATATGGCTAATGTTAATGCACGTCGATGGACAACGTATAGTAAATTTTTATTTCATTTCATTTGTATATTAATATAGAATAAACTCTGCCATTATCATATAGGTATGCAGTGTGTGGAAGGGGCCAATAATTTTAAAATTTTTAAATAATATATGGATTGAAAAAAATTAGAAAGTAATTTTTTCAATTATTTTAAAAGAATGGAATTATAGTAGAAATTATTAGACTTATAAAAAAGCTAATTAATTTTTTAAAACTATATATTAAAAGTCTGCAAATGGCAAAATTTTTAGGTACAACCCGATGGGAATTCATTTTTTCCCGCTTCAGTTAAAAAATTTTACTAAGGTGCCCGGTCCGGTTTTCACTTTTTCCCAAATACAAGGTATAAACTAAAGTATATATTGTTGAACACCAAAATACAACTATTTATAATATTGAGAAGGGGTTATTTAAAAGAATTGAATTCATCTAATATATATTTTAAAAAATTTGATCCGCCCGACCAGTTATTTTTTTTTTGCCCGGGCCGAGCTTTGCAGATTTCTAGCATATATTGAATTGTAGCCAGGCCAAACAAACATTAGTTTAGTATTTAGATTTAAGACGTGAAAATGGATAATAAAGAAGGATTTTATACAATTTATTTTTGTTGAAAGAAACATTAAAAACTTGGAAAATGAGATTTCAAAATTGTTTGAAATATACGAATTTGACATAAAAACATATGAAGTCACGGTTATATCATCGTAGATATAGAAAATTAGTGAACTCCAAAATGAAAATTAATTATTAACCATAGAATTTTTTGCCAGCTTTGTTATTGTCCGAAATTTGATTGTCAAAACTCTGACCACTTCAACCTTTTTTTCTTTGTTATAAATGGAATCTATAATTTTTCTCAGCTTTAACATTGTTCGAAAATATTAGAGAATTTATAAGATAATATGATTTAAAGGTTGTCTGATGCAAGATGTGAAAATTGAATAAAAGCTATTAAACCGATTTGTTAAAAATTATGCGTATAATTCTGTATTTGACAAAAATATTTTAGCTAAATTTGAAGGATTATATATATGAAAAATTTAAATTTATTTTTACAAAATAATAAGGTATAAAATAATATGCAAAATTAATTACATCAGCAAAGAGAAATCCTGAACAAAATATGATAAAAATAATCGATTATAACTCAAATATTTTTAACCAGTTAAGAAATGTTTACGTTCCATTAATTTTGAAAATTTTATTTTAAAAAAATGAGCCAACCTCATTGGAACTGAAAAGCTAACAGACATCAACTGACACAAATTATAATTGGAATTAATATGTTATGATTGATGTTTTAAAAAGTTATTCAAATTGGATTTGAAAAAAATTGCTCATACACCTTTTTAAACGAAAATTATATATTTTTTTTGTACGCGACTAAGATTATACCGTCACCCCAATGGAAACCCACGCTGAAAGACTATGAAAAATTCGAAGATTTGATTATCCCCCCCCCCTATTTCTAAAATGGTATCTGGAAAAAATGGGATTTACACCCAATTCAACATTCAAAAAAATACCCATGACTGTCAGGGAATTCAAAAAACTCGCCTTCAGCTTCACTGAAAAGATTTCTTCTTTAAATAATAATAGTATTAATTTAGTAACTAAAACTCATAAATCACCGTGAAGGGAACTGGCTCATATTTAATAATCAGCCCCTATCGGACATTAAAACTAATTTCTAAAAATATTCATAACTATAATCATTTTTTTAAATTTAAGATCATCGGAATTTCACAGGATTTTGGCACAAATTGATGTTTTTAAAGATTCCCATTAAACAAGATTATTAGAGTGAGGAAAAGGGGGGGGGCAGGAATTAAATTTTTTTCTCATAGCCAAATTGTTTTATCAAAAATAAATTTAAGTGTACACCGTTTCATTTATATCCGATTTTTTTCGATATTCGCAAAATAAATTTATATGGCGTCCAATACCGGCATTGATCCAGTAACCAAGTTTTTTGGAGAATTTAGGAAAATATCAGACAAGTGGAAAAATTTAAAAATTATTTTCTTATAAATATGAGCGAAATATTTATTTCTAAAAAATAATCATCGAATGATGCCTCGTCCCTCCTAGTCATTGAGAATATTACCCCCCCCCCCCCCCCCCACATTTATCCTCTTACTCCCCTAGAAAGATTAACCTCCTATTCCACCCGTATAAAATAATTTTATTAATTAATTCTCAATTATATTTGGAAAAGATGACGACTTATTTGGGCAGTTTTTAAGGTAAGAAATGGACATTAAAAATAAATCAAAATGATCAGAATTTAAATTAAATTGGCAGTATATAAAAAACATTTGGTTAGTACTTAAAAATTTTTTTGGTAAGTAATTAATAATTAATTTATAATATATTTTTTTTGGAAGTGTAAACATTCAGATTTCTCGATTTACTATAAACCTGATTGATAAGGATGGGGAATAAAAAAAATCAGAAATATATCTGTAAATAAAAAATACAAAAAGCTCTAAAATTAGAGTTATTCTTTGCTTTGAATTATATATTGAAAAACTGTGCAATAGTTATTTCTGACTGTTAAAAATTTTTTAAATTAAATGGCTAAATAATGTGAACGCATTATATGACGGGCTTACTTAATCTCTAGCACAGTACTAATGCATTAGTAGAACGCAAAAAATAGGGTTATTATTTAATGTATAAAAATGCTGACAATATTTACCAGTTATTACCATTATAGTACTGCTGAGGAAAATTCTAAAAAAAAAGAGTTTTACTCAATATTTATTGCAAATACAATAATTACCTTAAAGACTAAAATACTTTTAATCAATAAGAAATACCAGCTTTTAATTTATGCCTATTTTAAAAGTTGGCACAGGCCGACTCGAAGCGCATTAGACCTAGTCAGGAAATTAATATAATCTGGGTTTGTAAAACTATCACAAAAAATTTAGATTGATTATTAGGGCAAAGGGATGGAACTACAATTGCTCCTGTCTTATTTAGAATTATTTTTATATGTGATCTCATATCATAATGGCAGTTTTAAAATTATTGTAACCTTTGATTTAAAAAAAATATTTGTATTTAAAATAACTTTCAAAATAAATATCGAAGATTTTATTTTAGTTTATTACAACCAATGACATTATAATAATACCTAGACTGATCGGTGCATTCATTTAAAAGTGTACATCTATGAAAAACAGCTGGGGACGTCATTTTGATTACTCATATCATTATTTAAAATTTTTTAACAAGAGGCCAATTTATTCCTATGTCTGACGCAAAACTTAAAGAATTGCCTGATCATCGAGATAATAAGGAAGCAAGGTTATCAATTTAATGGTAGTTTTTTAACATGAGATAATTACTATATGGGTTATTACCAAAATGGCGGGTCCAGCAGATTTGCATTTCGACGTTTTCAAGCTCTTTATTATGAATGCATCGTCAGTTTAGGTATTATTATATGTCATTGATTACAATATTATCTTTTTTGACTACAAAATTATCATTTTTTTAATTTACTGTCCCCCCAAAAAAATCATAGCATTCTCAGGTATATCGCTGTTGCTTTTCTATTCTTAATTTTTTCTTTCTTGATAGAATTCTTATTTCAAAATGGTTTAAGACTTTTTTTTGGATTGTTTAGGGGTGTTATTTGTTCTACTTTTATAATGAATAAAAAATTGAATAAAAATGATTATTTATTTTTATTATAAAAAAACAAAATATACTAAAACAATGCTCAGATATCGAACTCCCGCCTTTTTCTATTACGACGACTTGGAGTGCAAGTACTGGATCAACGCCTCATACAATAACGCCATATATGGGGCGGACAATTCGGACTCTTTCATTGATAATCTCGAGCACTTAGAAGATTAGAATATCAATAAGCTCAACACCATAATCGATGACGTGGAAAGAGATTGCTAAGTCAGGATTGAGGGCGTCAATGCGGCCTATCTTTATTTCGGTAAGAGTTTTTATTTTATTTTTTTGGCCAATGGAAATGGAAACGAAGGGTCAACCGGGTTTAAAAAATAAATATTATTAAATAACTTGAAGATTAGAATATTTTTTTTACGAAATAGTCTAAGGATGCTAGACGATATTAGCCATAATCACCTATCCTTTGCCAACTTCAAAAAACTGGCTTAGTCAATTTTACCCCCCCCCCCCCCCTTCCCAATATTGTCTCAATCATTTAAGTTAAGACTCAACTTAGAGATTTAAATTATTTTTTTGGACAAAAATCTTGATTTTTAAAAACGATCCTATTAAGGTTATATCTAAAATAATAGTATGTAAGCATGGTGATTAGCTCATAACTGGCAGAAAGTTTTGAACATTACTAAATCTTGATGCTTACATAAATTATTTTGGACTAAAAATCGTTTTTTTTAACAACACTACTTGCCGCGATATTTGAATTGGCCTTAGGATTTTTAGCAAAATCATAAATCAGAAGAAAAATAAATAAAGAAATCTGAAAGGGAAGAACCTTCCTAACATCTATTAAAAAAAATTCTCATTTATAGCAACATTTTTTGAAGATATTTATATAAAAAATTGTTCAACTTTCTTTCAACAGCTCAACAATCCGAAATAGAGAAACAAAAAAAAAGTTGAAATACTAATGATAATATGACCCCATTATTGATCAGGAAAAAAATTCAAAGTATAAATATTTTTTCATTTTATAGATGCGCGAAAAATTTAATTAAAGATCACAATATTCAAGATAATTAATGTCAAGAAACACTGTTAAAAATTGAAATAACTTTAACGGATAAAAACACTGGCGAAAAAAGGACATTTAGCCAACGATTCTATGAATAATTTGGCAGATGTCATTAATTCAAATATGCCACCTAATTAAATTTCTAAATTTTATATAAAGAGATGATCTTCACTCAAACATTTTAATAATAGGATTATATATTATGGTGACTATCCCTTTTTCAATGGCTAAAAATAAAAAAATAGCTTTTCTTAAAAAACTGATCAAATATTATTGAGATTATCTAGGAACCAAGAGAGTAATTGTCATTGTCAATCTTTTCTATTGAAAAAGCAACTAAAAGATATAGAAATTATGTGATTAATTTAACAAATTAAAATAAAAGATAGAACAAAATTTTGAAATATTAAATAAACACATACTAAAATAAATTATCTAAATAATTTATTTTTTAAAAATAGCACTTTTATTGTTTATTTTTTCCATAAGGGCACCAAATATTATCATATTTATTTTGCATAGGCCACTTGATGAGTCAGACCTGATACCTGTAACCCCACAATCTGGGGCCAGTGTCTTCTACACCTCATAAGTCATAAACGATTAACCACCTAAATATTTTTAGCCCCTATCGCCTAAAAAATTACACATATCTCCCAATTTTTGCTCAGTGCTTCGAAAATTAATTTTTGATTCTAACTGAAAGACACTTTACCATTGAAAGAGTAGCCAAAAAATTTTTACTGATAAAATATAATGATAATAAAATTATCATTTTATAACATAACAGTAAATATGTTTTAAATTCTATATATAAGCATGAAAATTAAATATAAATATGCATTAAAAAATTAGACGACTATGAGTACGTCCGTAAAAAAGATATATTTTATTACTTAATAAATGTTAAAAATTATATTTATAGTAAAATTAAAAGATGTATTGCAACAAAATAAGATAAATTAAATATACAAATTATATTAAACTGCAGATTTTTGAGATCATCAAATAGATTGCAAATATAGCAGTGTAATATTTATTTTACTTCATATTTTTTTTGTCAATCTTTTTGTATTCATTTGTAACCAAATTAATAATAAATATTTAACGTTATAAATATCAAAATTAAATGTATCGAATAAAAAAAATTTTATATAAATTTAGCGGATATTTATCCTAGAAAAAAATTGAAGCTTTGACATCAAATCTTGTAAGAATGAAAAGAGCCCAATAATTAAAATAAGCAAATAATTTAAGAAATATAAATTTTACCTACTTTAAAGAACCAAGGGGGGTTTTAATAAAAAAAAAAATTTAAATTACCCATGTAGTAAAATATAAATAATTTGTAATAAATTACTGAATTGGATTATATAAGGGATAATTTTTTGGTTGTATTCATTAATTTATTTAAGTTACAATTCACTAATAAATTCGTGACAAACAATTAATTAGCATCCTTGACAATCCTTTAATTATTTGCAGGGCAGAATGACTAGATTGTACTTAAATATGATTACACTCATTGCCGGTAAAATAACTTATATTTTGGGCAAGTTATTTTTGGGTTAAAACGATGCTCAGATATTGTAATTATTTATTCATGATAATAAAATATTTACGTTTAAATTTATAAGTTATGAATTTATACAGCTCTACATTTAAAAGATATGGTTTAATTTTTTTATAAAACAACTTATAAAATAAAAAAAATCAATATCGGCTTATTATAACTTATTGGTAAATTACCTTTATCTTGATAATATATTGAACTTATTTTTTAAAGCCAGTTTTTATTAAAACTATATAACAGAATGGAAAAAAAATCTATATTAAATAATTAATATCCGATAAAATAAACTTTCATTAAAAAAAAATTTCCCCCAAAAAAATTAATGGGTTAAATATTTAAAATGCGATAAACTCGGAAGAAACTGTCTATTATATTGATTTATTAAGTCATATTAGGGGGCTTGATGGATGCCAGTGGAGAGAAAAGTCAGTATTCTAATATTTTTGACAATTCCTATCCTACACACATTAACAACGACGAAGACGCCCTTGAACCAATTTATATAAATCTGTCGAATAATATTGTATCCTGGATAGAATCATCCAAACGATCCGATTGGAATGTGGTGGACAATGCTCTAAGAAACGTACTATCCATGTTTAGGAAAATTAATCCGAATATCATGCACGATACAGAAATTACGAAAAATATTAAAATTCAGGAAATATTAAGCATCAGTGATAAGGTATTATTTTAAATAAAAATTTTATTTTCCCATATATCAATTTTTATTTTTGAATAGTGTACCGTGCGTTCCTTTTTTCACAAGGTAACGAATAACGGTAACGTGTTCTTTTTCAGACGTAACGAGTAACGTGTTTATTTTTTGAAGTAACGTTTACAGAACTAGTCTTTATTATATAACTAAATTGAAAGTTTTCTTTCATGATTTTTGTTTCTTCCGATAATAAATTATCCAATATAATTCTTTATATAATTTAAATAATAATATCTAACATGAAATAACTGCTATATTAATTCTAAATATTTTTGCTTAATATGAAATATTAAAAGTGATAAAATGATATATATTTGGGTAATTTTGGGTTTGTTGAAATCAAAAACATCAAGCCCTTCTTTTAATATTAATAGAGAAAGCATTTTGCCGTTGCTAAAGGCTACTCTATGTTGGAAAATGTAAATTATGTGACTAAAAAGCCAAATTCTTCTCTTCTCTTCTTAAAATTGAAGTTAATAATATTAAATATTGATGCATATTTTTATAAGGTCACCAAGCAAACTTTATTTCATTTAGCTTTGCGGGATGTGAAAATAAACATAATTAAGATTTTAGTGGCTTTGGGCGCTGACGTTAATCAACCCGATAAAGTAAATTAGCTTTCTTTTAAATAAATATATTGCTAAACTTTTAGGAAAATTTAAGACCCTTACATTATGCCGCAATTCATTGTAAAGATGACATAATCAAACTCTTGTTATCCAAAAACGCTGATGCTACAATAAAAGGAGGGGTAATTTATAATAACATATTATATTTGTATATTTAAATTATTTGGAATATTTATTACAATAAAAAAAGATTTCTAAATGTATTAATATATAATAATCTTTTGCCCTAAATTTTTGAAAAGCCATTACAAAGACTTCCTTTGCATTTCGCTTGCTGTAGAAATATTGGTGCTCAGACTTTAGTAAACTCTTTAGTAAAAGTTTCCGGCCAAAGTTGTAGAATCGAACCAGACTTAGAAGATTGCATTCCAATCTATTTAGCTACTGAATTAGGAAACATTGTTGTATGCAAAGATCTTTTATCGATTCAAGCAAAATCTCAATGTAATTATGCCAAAAAAGTACCTCATATTTTTCAAAAATATTATTTATAAATATTATATTATAACTTGTATAAATTAAATTTTTGACAAATTCCATCTTTAATGAAATGACAATTTTTTTAAAAATTTTTATTTGTCCAAGCCTATTAAGATTCGCTTAAATTTTTAAAATCTCTCTAAGCTGATAAATGGGAAAAAACCTTTTTTGGAAAATTTCTATCTTAAACTATATATTACATTTTTAAGAATGTCTTCATGACAGTTCGATGTGGGGAATATTTTTTAATTCATAACAGGTATTAGGTTTGTAGGGCAGGATCCAAAAATTCAGAACCAGCAGGCGATTTCGCAGCAAAAATAATTATGAATAAATATACTCCATGTAAATTTTATATTTTGATCTAGCAAAAATATTAATGTGAATTTAAAATGGATAAAATAAAAGGCGATATTATATAGGGTTGACAATTCCTAACTCCCTCTTCCTCCAGAAAAATTTCTAGAATTTCTAGAGGAAACTTTAAAATTTTTTAATAAAACTTAGGAAAAAATAATCCTTGAAATCAAGGAATTTATAGTTAGCGATAACTTTTTTAAATATGGATATGATCATCATGATTGGCTTTATTACTATGCATTAATATGGTTTAAATAGAAAACTAGGTTTAAAATCCTCTTGGGAAGTTATTCTTTATCATTACATTTCTTCGTGAAACATTAACGCGAATGCATTACCTTAAAAAAGATTACCGCCGCCGATGCATTTTACATACCATGAATCTGTTACTTGTAAAATTAAGCCTTTGGGATATGGTATCTAAATTATTTATTTAACAAGAAAGAGAGACTTTCTTATATACCAATTTACTTTCATTTTAACAAGAAAACATATTAACATTTTTATATCGATAATTGACTTTTTTATATCATTAATTGATTTACTTTTCATACAAAAAAAGATCTTGTTATAATCTAAATTAATCATTTTCTTTCAATTTATGTTAATGGAATTTTAACGTTGATTTAATAAAGATACTTCTGATATTCTTAATTCTGAGCTAATTCCTACAAAAACGCATTTTATAGGAATGTATTACATTGAATTTCGTATTTAATATTAGATGCATTTCTATCCATGAAATTAAACTAATCACTTATAGGTCCGAAATAGGGCAAAAGGCTTGATGTGGTTAGAAAAGATATCTATGATTAGGGTCAATTACTAATAAATACAATTTTAAGAAGGTGATATTATACGGGAGCTCCCTATTTAAAAAAAAACAAGTTGCGCGCAGTTCAAATATTGATTTGATTTTATCAAAAATAAAACAATTATTTAAAAAGAATGGATGTTTATTATACTGTCATATAAATAAATAACCTTCTTTTTATTTTACCCAAATAATAATTTATATTTTTCCCCTTACCAATTCAAATTAAGTTGCTTATCACAAAATAGAAATAATGGTTTGGCTTGTTTTTGAATTAATTTATTTTACGAATATAATTTCCCCTAATTTATCTGTTGTAATGTATTTGCTGTTACGGTTACGTTATGGCAGTCCGCGTGAATGCATTTCGCAAAATGTAGCACAGGTTCTGTTTTTATATTATAATATTTTATCATTTGTCTTATTATATCAGTGATTATATTACATTATCAAATTTAGAACACCGGTGATACAATTTTGCATTTAGCCTGCAGGAAAAGGGACGCCACATTGATAAAAATATTTTTAGACGCCGGTGCACAAATTGATATGCAAAATGTAAGGATTCATTTTAAAAAAAAATTAATAGGATACCAAATATATATATATTTTTTTAAAAATATATATTATTTAGAGAGAGGGACATACTCCACTTCATATATCGGCATGGGAAGGAGACCAACAAGCTATCACCTTGTTTTACAATTACAAAGCAAATCCAAATATTTTTGACAAAGTATAATAATCTCAAAATAAATTTGATTCATAATTTAAAATATTTTTTTGGGGGGTTTTAGTTGGATAGAACGCCGATTCATATCGCGACCGAAAGAGGTTATACATCAATAGTAGATTTTTTGATAGACAAATTCCAAGCCTCTTTGACAGCTAGAACCGAAGATGGAAGTACGCTTGTACACATAGCTTCTCTAAGTGGTCATCCAGACACAGCTCAACTCTTTTTGAAAAAAGGTGTTCCCCTTATGATGCCTAACAAAGTAAAATAGTTTAAAAATTTGTGTTAAATCTCATTTAAATTTCTATTAAGAATTGCCATATTAATTAGGATAAAAATAAGATATGTAATTCAGAGAGGAAAAACCAATAATCTCCTGCAGAGTGATGTAATTCTATATATCTATATATACTTTTAAGATTTTCGATAAAATTATTTTTATAAATTTACACGTAAAATATTTTAAATAGCGGTATATATTTTAAATATTTATCTTATTTCCTATTATCATTTTTTAGGTTTAATCCTCTAAACCATTATATACATAATTTTTTCCCCCCTCATAAACTAGTTCGCATGGTGGAAAAATTGTATTGTTAAAAAAATTTTTTTAACTTGAATATTTTATTTGTAATTTTCTTAAAATTTTAAAATTTTATTAGAAAATTTCAATTTAAAACTCAACAAATACTAATTTAAAGACTATTGTTTGGAAATTATGATTTATATTTTAATATTTTAGTATATATTTGTCGTATTGGGATAAAGAATCCATGATGATTCCAAATTTCTTAATTTTATTTAGAGTAATTTCTTAATTTGGAAAGTATAATTTGACTGGAAACGTATTCCAGAATATGTAGAGTAACTACTTAAATTTTAGATAAATTCTACCATTATATATTATTTATATTTCTCAATTTATATGAATCTACTTAAAAATGAAGATAATTTAAGTATAATTTAAAAGTTAATTGGCGGTGTTGGTTGCTGTATACAGGAGAAAAGTGTTTTTGACATTTTAACTTAAAATTTTGAAAAATGCACATAAACAAATGGTTGAAGAACTCTTACTTGACCAATTTTAAATAGGATTAATACGAAATAAAATTTATAGAATTAGAGATGAGACAAAGCTTCCCCCAGGTGCTCAATTATAATGAACAGGATGGTTCTTATTCATAACATTAATTATTTAAATAATATCATATGAAATTATGATATATATTTTTTTGCTTCATATCTCTTAATTCTAATTGAAATTTTATTTTGCTAACTTCCCGTTGTAACCTGGATATGAGTCTGCGATCTAAGCAGCGTATAACTCATTATACATATCTAATAAGTCTTTTGTAAATTTTTATTTATAACATACTAATGTTAAATTCATTATTAGAGTGGTGCAATATCCCTTCATTCGGCAGCTAGAAGAGGTCATAATTCGATGGTAAAATTGTTATTAGACAATGGAGCTAAGGTGGATGCGATGACCAATGATAGATATACCTCTTTACATATAGCTGTTATATATTGCAAACCTGATGTTGTTTTAACTTTGTTGGGGTATAGCGCCAATGTAAATATGAAAGGAGGCCCAGTAAATCAAACTGAAAATTTTGTTTTTTATTTACTATAGATATTATTCCAACTGAATATTTCAGGGATTCAAATTATGTTTTAAATAAGACTTTAGAAAATATTAATTTCAAAATAAAATGAAATATTTTCAAACAAATTTATTTTAAACAATAACTAATAATTAGACCTATACAGTATTCAGTTAATAATTTAACAATACTTTTTAAATATCTGGATATATGTCGACAATTATATTAACAGTATATAAATATTAATTTTTGAGTTCAACAATTTATAATCTTGTTTATAACATTAACAGGAAATTCGCTGCTTTTTTGTAATTTTTCGTATTCCTTAATATTTTCCCTAAAATTTTATCAATCTTTAATTAAAGTGATACTTTTGTTTGATATCAATTTATAATATTACGACTAAATGTTAGATTTAAAATAATTTATGAACTTTTAAAAAAAAACTTTTCCCCTTTGCTTAATTTAATTTGGTATTATCAATCATAATTGTCTATGTTATATAATATTTATGGTCTAAATTTAAAATTTAAGAAAAATTACTTATATTTTTTATGTTTTAATGTAATATATACTTCAACTCAATTAATATGCGGTATATCACAATAAAGATAAAGGTATAATTATAAAGTATTTATATGTCATTTATTAAGTTTTGTTGTTTGGAAAAAAAAATATCTTATAATATTATATTACAATACGACAAAGTGCATTTGGCATTATTATAATCATTAATTATTATATATACAGGATATGGAAACGCCTTTGCATATTGCTGCAAGAGTTAGTGAGGGTGAAAGGTCCGCCGACATCTTAATTAAAAGTGGTGCGAATGTTAATGCTACACAGATAGTACGTATCCGCCACTTTAGTAGTATAATTATTTTTCTCTTTAAACAAACAAAAATTTAAAGAATGGTGAAACTGCTTTACACATAGCTGCTAAATTTGGTAACTCGCGCATGATAAATGTCTTGATTGCCGAAAAAGCCAACCCGTTCGCTGTATCAAAGGTTTGTTTCAATATTATTTTTATTTTATTGATTTTTTAAAATTTTCAATTCTTTCCATACATTACATATATACATATATATCTAACTAATATTATAGTAACTTCATTACGTAGAGGCTGTTGTGGTCTCGAAACCGGTTAAAATTTTTAGAGATCCCCTCATAAAAATATTCAAGAAAATAAATCTCCTTTTAGATTTTGAGCACTCATTGAGTCTCGGTCAACTGAAAAATCTTGTGTCACTATATATAATATATATATATATAAACTAGCGATGCAAGAGGTGGAACTACGAAGAGGGTATTAAGAAATTGTTCTTTTTCTTAAAATTTACGTTCAATGGTAAGAAAATACAATTTGAAGAAAAAAGTTAGGGTATTGATTTTTTTCGAGTTACCTTTTCCAAGTATTATAAAATATTTTGTATAATTTTTCATATTTTTCTTCTTAAAATTTATTTCTATTATAGTTAATTTATATGTCTTTGTTAAATAATGTATATAAATAATCTTAATAGATATTACGATATCATTCACTAATGATATACACATATTTAAGATTCAATAGAAATACAAAATTACTAAGGAACTAAAAATATTAAAAAATTGAAAACTTTTCCTGTAAAAATATTTCAATTACCGCAAAATCTAGAAGGAAAAAAATTATACAAGTTACAAGATGGAAAATGATATTTCGCTTCTGTCGTAAATTGGTTTTTTTATGTGTTCTTTAAAAATATTTAAAATTATTTTTTGGAGTGGAGTTCATGGTTCAAAGATTAGATACCTTCTATTGCCTTTTAATAAAGTTTGAGCGCTGTTAAGTAAATTCGATTATGTTTAGATAAGAAAAATTATCCATTTTTTTAAATCATTTTTGATCCTCCTCTCCCCTGTTTTGAAATCCGTAAGTAAGTATGACACCAACTCAGAGATCCCTATTTATACATTTAATATTAAATAATTTAGTTGAAAATATGTAACTTGGGGGAAGGGGGAGGTAAGTAGCAAGCAAATATATAACGTTACATTAAATTTATTTAATAATAATCTCAAATACATTGGGAACCATTTTGATTGGTATGAAATAAATATACTTAATAGATTTTACTGCTTTTAATAGATTTTTTTTAAAATAAAAATAGTAAATATATATTTTTTAAATGCGTTTGTATGTGATCGTGCAAAGTCAAAATTTTATTTGAAAAAAATTTATTTATTATTGAAATTAACGAAATCGTGTTTAGAAGTATAAGGTTTAAATGCGAGAATCATTTTCTTTTGAATTATTTTTTTTGACTTTGAACTCTTTAAAAATTAGTCTATATTTTAAAACCAATAGTAAATAAGATGTTTGGTGATATATTATTTTTTTTTATAAAATTCATAATTATTTCTTAACTGCACATTCTTTGTTAATGGTAGTGCGCGTTCAAATCCAGGAAAAAAAAATAAAGAAATTCAATAAAAATTTGTATTTCATTACACGATTATTAGCAACTCGAAACCCCTCTTCATATCGCCGTAAGGTATTGCTTTTTAATGATCGTCACACTCCTTCTTAATTACGTAGAGAAAGATCATGGGAAAAAAGCAGTGACCGATTACGTAAATCAAGCGAATCATGTAATAATATTATATCTCATAAAACAATCCTTTTCAAAAATAAAAGAATATATATAAATTTTTAAAACCTTAAACTTTTATCTTCTAGTTCTAATTATGCCTTTAGTAAAAATTTTTTTAAATTTATTAGAATTAATTTTGAATCATTTTTTAAAAGACATTACAAATCGCCATCATAAATTAAATATCCGTTTAATTTGAGTGTAACCATGCCATGTACATAATTTTTCTTTTAATAAAACTGTCTAAAATAGTGAATAAGTTTTTAATTAATTTTTTTTATTATATGGCAGGACGGAGAGACGTCCGTTCATTTGGCTGCTAGTCTAACCAAAAAAAACGCTCACAGTAAATTCGAAGAAGTTGAAATGATGCGTATTTTGCTCAATTATTCGGGAGATTTAAAAAAATTATCACTCAAAGTTAATAATTTATATAATAAATTTTAGAAAAGAAAATTCATCCCATAAAAAAAATAGTTACACGAAACACCTTTACATTATTGTGCCAAAGCCGGTGACGAAAGAATTTTACAATTGATGTTACAAATGGCACCTAAGGGAAAATTGCTAAATATTGTAAATCAAGAAGATATTAATAGTTGGACACCCTTATTAGTCGCATCTGAGTCTGGAAACATTGAAATCGTCAAATTGCTCCTTCAAAATCACGCCAGAGTAGATATATTTGATGAGGTTTATCCATGAACTAATTTAGTATTTATTATAATAAATATACACTTGTATTGTTTTAATGTTAATCCCGAACTCAACAGTTTAAAAAATCAACTTTATTACCCTTTTTTAAGTAAATATTTATAAGAAGTAAAACACCTTAAGTTAAAAAAAATCGAATAAATGGCATAGGACCCAATAAATCTTAAGTTCAAATAAATATAGCCTCAGAAGTTAAATTTTTTTTATAAATTTTAGACCTTTTTTTTATTTGACTAATTGCTTTAATACTTTAATATGGAAAAAATATTGGTATAAAATCCACGTGGCTAAATTTGAGATTCTATATATAGTGTTTCTTTTTTCAAAAGTAGCAAGTTACATTCAAAAGTTACTTTAACCAAAATGTGAAGAGTTACCTTATTTGAATTGTAACTAGTTACTTTAGCTCATCTCCGAATTAAGTTATGTTCAATTTTATTTTAACCACTTTACCTTGATACTTAGCTAATCACAAAAAAATTTTCATTAACATTGCCAGTAATTTATAATATCTATTACCGTAAGCGAAAGGCATTATTATTCTTAAAATATCTATTATTGAAGCAAGGAAAGGCAGCATTGCATTTGGCTTGCGAGAATGGTCATTCGGATGTAGTCGATGAGTTGATGGCTAATAAGGCTTACGTTAATATCAAATCAAAATTAGGTATAACACCATTACATTTGGCCGCATTGAACGGGTATGATCAATTATGTGCGACACTTATTAAAAAGTATGGCGCCAGTATCATGTCATTTTCACTGGTGAGACTAATTTAATTATTTTTTTTATAAGAAAATTGATAATTTGCATTTAAATATATTTTTCATCGAAAAATAATATTTACATATCAGAAATCACTTAAATGTGGCTTTCCTTATGATATAATATATTTTAATCAGATAGTATAATCAAGTTTGAGCTCCTGGTATAGGGGTATTATAATTTAATTTTTCGGTTCAAATTGTCTATTTTATTATAAATCTTATTATACAAAAATTTATTTTCAGCTATATAATTAATTTTTTATATCATCTCACATCTAGAACAAAAAAACACCATTACATCTAGCTGCACAGGCTGGGCAAGTTGCGGTGTGCGATGAATTATTAAAACTAGGAGGTAGACCTAATTTATTTGATACTACTGGTCACGCACCTATTCATTTAGCGGCAGAAAATAATCATCCTAATGTTGTTAAACTATTTTTGCTTAACAAGCCGATTTTAGTAAAATTAGCCACTCAAGTACATAATAATCAGCTTTATTTTTTAAAATATATTCACTATTTTATATTTCATAATAATCAAAATCAAAATCTACACAAAATTAATAATATTATCGGTGAAAACATTAGGATATGGTGAGAATATAAATATTTTTAATGCTAATCTAAAAAACCATATTTCAGGCAGGAAATACATGTGCTCACATAGCTGCTATTAAAGGTAGCATAGATGTCATAAGAGAATTGATGAAATTTGACTTAAAAGTTGTAACCGAGTACCGAAATAAGGTAATACACTTTACCCATTTTTTTTATTATATTTAGATATTTTATTGAAGGATACATTATCAACTCCTTTGCACTTAGCCGCTGAAGGGGGGCACATAGCTATAATTAAATTACTAATAGAAGCTGGCGCATCTCCCAAGGAAGAAAATAAAGTGATGGCTAAACTATATAAGCTTAACACAACTATTCATATAATGTTATTATAAAAAGTTCTAGATGTGCCAACTCGTAAATCCAAATTTTTCGCAGTCGAGGGGTGGGGGGTGTGTTAAAATATTTAAAAGTAGTATTATAACTACAATAACTAAATTCTAGCCCAACAAGTCGGCCCTAAATTCTGTTTCGTCGGACCTAAAGAAAACTTTAAAAATTTGACCTGCGTTAGCTCGGAAATAAATTTTTAGGAAAGCGGGGTTGGCCTCTTTATAAATTAATAAAATATGTAGTGCTGGGTTTATAATAGTAAAGATTTCGGGCAGAGTCTGGTTTGGGTTAAAAAACTGAATGTGCAGACCTCTGGCTTATGAATATAAATAGGTAAGGGGCAAAAATAAGGGTCACGTGAATCTAATTATTTTTACTACTAAAATAGGGGGGGTTCATTTAAATTTTTCATAAATTTTTAATGACATTCGGCCTGGCCTGAGTTTACTAGGATTAATCTATGAGATTAGTTGTGTTGGATCAATATAAGAGCCCTTTATATTGAAAATAATAATGGTATAGCCGGGTAGAAAGATATATTTAAAACATAGAGTTAGGTATTATATTTAGAATTTAAAAAAAAATATGAATAAGATTGTTTATAGAATATTAATAAAATTTGGAATTTGGACTCTCACGTTACTAAAAAAAACTATCTGACTATTTTTATTTCGCGGAGCGAAAAAGCTTGAGCATATTTACTTTCTTTACATTATATTAAATAAAATAAAAGAGAATTTTAATTAATTATATAGAAAAGAATAGTTTTTTATAAATTAATCCTCAAGAGGTAAGATGATGTGGAGGAAAACGCAGGTGGAAAGGTGGGATATAGCTTACTCTTATTATATCATTCAAATATTTATATTAATTTCCGATATTTTAAAGAGTTATTTAATTAACACATATATACTAGATATGAAGGTTTATTATAAGAATTTTGTAAAAGAAGCTAAATATTCATATTTCTTATTTTTTACTATATAAATATACCTGAAACTGTTAGGATTATAAATTTTATTTAACTTGTTTTTAAATAATAAATTTTTTTTAGGAATTATATAAAATATATGTTTCTGCCTCCAAAAAATATTTAATTTTAAAAACTATTCTATAGAATAGCATATATATTTGTAGAAATATGATGTCTTTTTTTAAAAAAAAAGGCTACCGAAAAAGCCAGGTCAGAATATCTCTAAATTTAGTAATTTAAAATCTCTGATATGCAACTATACCCCACAAATATGTTTAAGTTTCATATATCCACTAGCTTTTGGGATTTACAAGTTTTACCCCTGATTTGTAAATATAATAAATTCAACTTTATAATAATATCTTCAGTAGCAATATCAAAGAGTGGATAATATCAACATTTTTATAATAGCTTATTCATTTTCAACAAAATTATCTATCAAAATATAAAGGTTTTTCGAGGAAAATTTTTAAATATTTTTTTAAAAAATAAATATTGAAGGACGGTTATACCCCTCTACATTTAGCGGCAAAATACGGCCGCACTCAGGTTCTCCAAACTTTAACAAGTTATTCCCCTTCTGTATTGATGCTGGTGAGCTCAACGTCAGGATTAAATCCTCTTCACGTTGCTGCTAAATCAGGAAACGCTGATTTTGTAAGAGAAATGTTGGAAAAAGTGCCTGCAACGGTCAAATCTGAATTAACTCCTGAAATCGCTAAACATAACAAATCTGTCACCAAGGATAAAATCGATGTGAATAAATTTTATAAAATTTACATTTATTATAAATAATGCTTTTGAAATAACAAAAAATATGTAATTTATATTTTATTGAAAAAGCTAAATATTAAGTAAACAAAAGCTAGAATTAAATTATAGTTTTGATAAATAATTATTTTATCATGTTTATTAATTATAAAACATAATTTCCATTTTTTTTAAAGTTTGGCCTAACTCCTTTGCATTTTGCCGCTGAATATGGACATGAAAATATAGTCCGACTTTTGCTAAATTCCAAAGGTGTTAAAGTAGACACTCCAACTATTTTATACGGCTACATCCCTCTGCATTTTGCTGCTATCGGTGGCCATACCAGCGTAGCCAGTATATTATTGTCAAAGTCTTCCGATCAGCTACATATAAAAGATAAATTAGGTCGTACACCGTTGCACGTAGCAGCTTCAAAGGGTCAAAACGAGATGATAGCCTTACTTATTAGCCAAGGGTCCGATATAGATATTATTGATTTTGTAAATCAGAATAAATTTTTAAAATTCTCTCCATCTTATAAGAATATGTGTTTAATGAATTTAATGAAATTTTATTATATTTCAATAGCACACATAGTTTATAAATGCTATTTAATTGAAATATTTTTTAATTTAAAAATTGTTTCAAATTTTAAGAACAAGTGGACACCATTGCATTATGCAGCTGCTTCCGGGTTTCTCTCAGTAGCTCGTCGTTTGGTTCTAAGCAATGCAGCTCCAATGGCCGTTAATAATCAGGGAGATATTCCACTAGCTTTAGCTCTGGCTAACAATCATATGCCCGTATTTAGCTTTCTCGTCAAACAGGAACATCCCGTTTTCGAATTACTCGATAGTAATCATCGCAAGTTCGTTTTCAATATGATGGTCTGTGGTCGTTTGCACTCTAATCGTAACATAGACGAATATGTACTGAACTCTCCGGCCCCTTTAGAGGTGGCTTCTATAATGGCGGAAAGATTTTTCGCGGCGGCTAATCGGGAAAAAGAACGCGCTTCTGAACTTTTGGCGGCGGCCAGACATTGCGAGACAATGGCTTATGAGCTGTTGTCCTTGGCTGTAGAAGTAGCACCTGGGAGTACTCAGAATGCTACCAATTCTATCTTGCGAGCTTCCGATCATACAGGAACTTTTCAATTTATACAGACTTTGCTTAGAAGTGGTGATCTTAAGACGCTTGTCTCTCATCCCGCTGTACAAATATGGCTGTCACAAGTGTGGGTTGGAACGTTGAATTCTTGGAAACCTTATAAATTTTTGGTATTGTTTATGTTAATGTTATTTCTTTCGCCTCTGTGGATTGCCATGAGTTTACCATTTTGTCATGGGTACAATCGTAATCCAATAATTAAAGTAATTTTGATATTATTTTTACAAAATATTTATCTAAATTTTATTATACATTTTATAGATTTCAACATTAGGCAAATTCATAAACTACTTTATCAATATATATTAATTTGTAATGTATTGTATATATTTATTTAAAATCTATAATATAGTTTCTGTGTTACTTGGTATCTCACTTCATATTTACTCTACTATTAATAACGGAGACTGCCATCCCTATATATCCTGTATATAAATCAATTTCACTCATACCTCATTGGAACGAATGGATACTATTATTATGGATAATAGGAAATTTTATACAAGAAATATTTGCCCGAAGCAAACCTAGAGGAATAGGTTAAAATTAGTTTACTTATCATAACTATGCAATTAAATGTTACAATAACTTAAAAGGATGGATACGTATATTAGTTTTAATAGTATGCGCAATGGCAATAATCGTTCACTTCAATGGAGTATTTTTTATAGGGAGAAGTCGACTGATTGTTTTATACACTCGAAATCAATTATTCTCAATCGCATTAGTCATGACCTTGGTACAATTTTTGGAATTTTTAAGGTCTTTATCAATTAAATACTAAAATTATATCTATTTCATTAAAATAATCAAATTTTTTTTTAAAATTCAATCGATGATTAACCAAAATATTTTTTTTAGCTAATAACATTAAATTATTATTAGAAAGAAGAGAACAAAAATCATATGGACAATTTTTTTTTAATATTTACGTTTTTTATTTTTAACCGTGTTTTAAAGCAAGTTTGTTTTTTTAATATTTAAGTTAGTGTAAAATTTATAAAGTTTTTGATTATAAATCTGTTTTATTTTATCTAAACTTTTATAGTATATGGTAAGGATTCTGTATAATTTAAAAACTGTTCATTTCGTAAAAAATGCCCTATTAATTTATTAACGTTCATTTAGATAATCTCATTGCTAGAATAAATCAAAATCTTTATTATTAATTTTTTAGAAGAATTAATTAAATGCACAGTTTTTAAAAATTATTTTTCTAGTTTTTTAATCAAAGCGCGCAGTTTTTCTAAAATTATTTTCCAAATTTTTAATTCGATTTTTTAATTAAAGTGCGTAGTTTTTTTCATACTAGATTTTTATAGTTTTGTAAGATATTTTAATGTCCAATTCGAACTATTAATATTATAGTATAGTAAGTTGTTTTCAAGCCTCAATTTGGAGCAATTTTTTTCTGAATCCTCTCTTCTCAAAGAAGGTATCTCAAGGAAAGAGAAATGAGTTGAAGTTTAGGCATATATATTGATTAGGATTATTGATTATTTTAAAAATGAGCGTTAAATATATTTTAATTGGTAGATTTTTGTTTTTTTTTTAAAAAAAAACTATGAAATAATTTTTAAAAAACTGAGCAATCAATTATAAAACTGTAAGGGTGAGTCCAAAGCAAAAAAAATTTTTAAAAAAAATAAATAATTCTGACATTTATACAGTATGCGGACTAAACTCAATTTTTGTAAATTTCAATAATAAATTTACTTTTTTAAAATAAAATTTTGACTTGACCAATTATTTTAAAACTTCGCATTTGAATATTTTTACTGCACATTTAAAGTAACACCATATTATTATATAATAAATACGTTATTAGCTTCGATAATTTATTTGGACCATGGGCCATAATAATAAGAGATCTAATGAAAGACATGGCCAGATTTTTGGTAGTCTTGCTATTGTTCTTAGCAGGATTTTCTTTTACCGTCACTACCATATATTTACCAATGATGCCTTTAACCGTTAGAAATAACACAGTAGGAGAAGGTAGATTTAATTTTATATAAATTCTGACTTCGTTTTTTTTCAAAGAAATTTCCGGAACTGTTCTTTTAAATCCCTTGGAATCATTCGAGCTTCTTTTTTTTGCTCTTTTTGGCTTAGTTTCTCCTGATATGCTACCAGTATTAAATCAAACTCCTGGTTATAGTGGCATTTGGGTTAAATTTGTATTTGGTGTCTTCCTGATGGTCACCTTTATCGTTTTAATAAATCTTCTCATTGCTATGATGAGTGATACATACCAAAGGATCCAGGTATAGATATATTAAAAAATTTTGACATTTTTTGCTCCAAATAACTGCTTAGGCGGAATCTGATTTAGAATGGAAATTTGGGAGAGCGCAATTAATAATTAATATGGAAAGACAACCACCTGCGCCTTCTCCTATCAATATTTTTACAAAAATCTGGACATATATGCGACTTTTTTCTCTATACGGAAGTAAAAAATGATAAATAATATTATGATGAATTAAATTCTTTTATTCAGGGATTTATTAATGTTTTTATATTTTTTAAAGCTAAGATATTCTCGCTGAAAAAAGAAGAGGTTTTGAATGAAGAAGAAAGATTGGAAAATAGAGTGGCTAGTAATAAGTCCTTACAAGCTCTAGGGGACTCGTCGTTGCAATTAATGACTGGCTTTATAACCAGACAGAGATCGGTTAATACTATTTTCATAATATGGATTATCATTTTTTCTTATAATGCTGAAAAGTAGTGTTGTGTCACAAATTAAACTGGTCCTAAAGGTTCAAATTTGTTAAGAGAGTTTAATCGTAAAACAAGATTCGCGTTAATAAAATTCATTATTTGCAATGTTTCGAGATAGGTGGGGTTCAATTAAATCCTTCTAATGAATTGAGTTGTTTGGCTCCGGCTTATTAGCAACCCTATTACAAAGTAACGTAATATAAAGTAACATCTTTTGCAATGGTAACGTTCGATTTTTAAAATATATCTTATATAATTGAATCTTCATACGGGATTACTATTATACAATATAATATAAGATAGAAATGTAAATAATAGTTCTGAATACAGACATTAAATGCACCTTTATTTGCCAAAGTAATTGTATAACATGCATTCACAGTTAGCGCGAATTCACAAGAAGACAAAATATCATATATATATAAAAATTTTACATTCATTTTTGTATACTTCAACGACGCAAATTAAGTCGCGCAAACTGTGAACGCAGTTTAGCGTTTTACTTTTTTAGATTAACGTTTTTAGCACCATTTTTTATTAAAGAAAAAATAAATAATATTTTTCTTAATTTAATCATGATCATCTCACGCATAACTATAAATTTATAGATTACATCGGAACAAGGACTTATTAGGAGAGATCCCTTAATGACTCAACCAATTAAAGATGTGGTGGATTGGAAAAAAGTTGGAGATAAGTATTTAGAAATGCAGGTAAATTCATATTAATTTCCATACTTGTCATTTTAAATTAATTCAAAAACTAAAAATATACTAAATTCATTTAAAATAAGATGATAGTTTAAAACCAAATATTTTGTTAATAAATTTACATTACTAGATGCATCAATGCCACTAAATCGACTATCTATTTATTTTTTAAATTAAACTAATTTAGATCTCTTTTCATCATTGTATCTAATTCTTATTAAACAGAGATATATTTATAATTATAAGTTAAACTATACTAATTTTTTTAAGATAATCACTAATTCAAATATTTCAGGAAAAAACAATTAAACATCATATGATCGGGCCTATTTCCTTTTGCTTTTTAAATATCTTCGATGAAGTTTTAATAGCCAAAGAATGACACTTCCATTCCATTTGACTTAATTTTTCCAAATATTTATTTTATATATCTCGTTTAAATATAATATCCTAACAACTCTTTTGCTGCACATTTTTAGGATTTGTTTTATATACTTGTCTTGTTGGTATTAAGGTACATTCTTAAGCTTATGTAAAACTTACACACATTTAAAACATAAAATAATGTTAACACTAGGGAATAGAAATGGACAATAGTTCTGATAAATTCAATATTGACGAGCCTATTGTGAAAAAAAATGTAAACATTCGTAGACTCGCCCAAACTGTGGAGCTCGCTAAAGAAATACAATCCGCTGAAAGGCCTCATTCATCGGCTTCACAGACTTAACTTAATAATTCAACCGAAACTAATTCAATTTGTAAACCTAAAATATTTTCGATAATTAGGGCTCTGAGAGAAGAATAATAAACATTTTAAAGAACCTATTATTAATAGATTATTCAGTTTTATATATTGTAATATAGCAACATTTCAATAAATTTTAATTAAAGGTTATCATATTTTCTGAACTATATACATACAATGATAAATTCGTTTCATTCAGGAACTCTTTTTTAGTGTATATTACATTAAATAATTTAAATTTCTATAAAAATTTCTTGCCATACAATAGCAGTTATACACTATTTTTATATTTAAATTAATATATTTTACACAACAATATGTAATAATTAACATTTCGAAGTCTCTAACAGTTGTTCTTGCGCCTTTTGTAAGATTATCGAATCAATACTTTCTGAGATAGACAACTTATTGCTATTATTAAATTCTTGGGAAGGTTTAATGACATTTTTCCATTTCTAAAAATATATTTTAAATTAAGATGTTCAATTTTTTAAATTTATAAAAAAATATATATTTCATAATCAGTCAGAATAATATATCTAAACCTGATAAAAATTAGATCCAGGAGCATTAAAATACTTGTACAAAGCTATTAAAGGTATCATTCCAGCTGTTAAAGCCGTTAAGCACCACCCGATAATGTGAGCCCATTGTGGATACGGTCTACCATCGTTCGATACCGCCCCATCTTTCGCAATATCGAAGATGGAAAGGCAATATATTGCCTAAATTTTAGAGAAATAAAAAAATCATTATTGGGTTTATTTTATAATATACTAATTTAAAATTAGTCGTTTAAAATGAAAACAAAATAAGATAATATTTAGAAATAATTTCTACCGTTAAAGTCACAGGAGAGATGATAATCCAAGTTATAATCCAATATAATCGAGAAGGAAGCTTTTTACCTAACATTACTTCAATATCCTTTATGAAGTTTTTATAGCCTATTAATTAAGTAACTAAATTTTATTTATGGTTTATATATGAATTTGTGAGTAAATATTATTTTTAATTAATATGACATACAGTATGTCTGGGGTTTCCGAATCTTTGGATATAATTCGGGATCTCTCGACTTTAATTATTTACTAAATACAATTTTTTATCATATCCCAAATTTCCATTATGACATTTACACATTATATGAAGCAAAAGAAAATCAAATAAATTTTCAAGTACTTTTAATTTTTTAATCCTTCAGTTATTTCGTCTTAAACATTTTTTAGGACTTAAGAATCCTACTATTCTATTCAGAAGAATGTAAACATAATAATTATAATAACTATTTTTATATTAAAAAATTTCCCCATACCATATATCCACATGATGGCGATCACTTCGCATGCACCTATAATCACTAAACTTGAATCAGCCACATAAAAATTGATAATGTCTATGATATAAAATCCACCCTAAATAAATTATTTGATATTTTAATATAATAATTCTATATTTTTTAAGATTATTTAATCTCAATTCTTGATTATATTGCACCTCATAATTACATATAAAATAGATTCATATGATATACTCATAAAAAGTGAATATTTAATTAATATTAATCACGAAAAAATTAATATATTTAGAGTTCACGCTATTGATATAATAGATTTTAAAAACAAATTTATCATTTTAATTTTATTTCATTGGATATATATATTAGTAAATTTTATTTTATTTAAATATAAAAACCTCAGTAACTAGAGTCAGTCCAATCAGGTAAAATAGACAGCATACACCTAAGCAAACATATGTTTTGTATTTCCAAGGAAATATTTTAGGGAACGTGTCGTGAAGCGCACATAGTACAACCTCAATGGCTGCTACAATACTGTCCAATCCTAAGCTGAATAGAGTAAGGAAAAATAGAACTGTCCATAATTGAGGTATAGGAAGTCCCGATAAAGCTTCAGGATACACAACAAAAACAAGACCGGGTCCTTAAATATATTTTAACGATATATATTTTGTTTTTAAAAAATCACCTGAGCTAGAGGCCACTTTGGATAAAGGTATAGATGTTGAATGTGACATATATCCAAGTACTGAGAATATAACAATTCCAGATAAAAGACTCGTGACTGTATCCATTATACTTATAATCAACGTGTCACGATGGCAATTGTTATTAAATGAATTAAAGCTTGAGAATGTAATAACCCCTCCTAGGGTTACGCTTAGTGAAAAAAACATTTGCGAACATGCAGCTCTCCATACCTATTTATATATTTAAATTATAAAATACCATCATTTGTAATTTGTACCAACCCCTATATCTAACAGTTTATTCCACTGGGGTGTAAAGAGGTATAAAATTCCATCTTTAGCTCCTTCCAATGTCACGCCCCTAATCATCAAAATAAACAAGAGAACGTAAGGTAGTGTTACGGTAAAGTATATCACCTATTACAAAATGATAATTATACACCATTATTTTTTTAAATAATTTTTTGGAAATCAATAATATAAACATTACCTTTCCTGCCGATTTAACTCCTTTGCATAGGCAACCAAATGTGATAATCCAAGATAGGAGGAGAAGTAATGCTAAATCCCACTTTATATTACTTATATTATCTAGGTGAGCACTTTTACCCAAAACACCATAACTAATAAATTATATAAAAAAAATTTCGTTGAGATAATTAAACTACATACTCCCAATATTCCTGACTTGAGGATCTCCTTATGATATTGTTAGTTATATTATATCCTATATTACTATAGTTTTGGTTTAATGAATTATTCGTATTGCTAGATCGGAAGTCGTTAATACGATAGCAAAATTCTGTATTGAATGACTAAAAAAAATAAATAATTTTTAGATAGCAAATAAAGTGGCTAAAAAATTGAAAAAGTAATTTTACGCCTTTAATCGTTAGTAAACCAAAAAAAATATATATAGAAATTTAAGGAATATACATTATTGCAATGAGTCCATGGTAAACGACGTTGAAAGCCCGCGAATGTAAAATATAGAGTATACGTCATCAGAACATTATAAAATATACTGATTACGAAAGATATGCCAACCATTGCGGCTCCTACACCTGTTTTAAAAAAGATTCGAATACTTATAATATACTCTTAGTAACAAACTATCAGTTACCGAAAGACACCACTACGAGAAAGGGAGAGAGGGAAGAACGCAAGATCGGCATAAAATTAAGAGGGAGAGGGAAAAAAAATGCTTTTTAACATTAGAATATAAGGAAAAAAAGGTAAATAAATGTTAAACGGCAGGAAAGGGACATGCTAGTTTTGATTTAGATTTTTCCTCTTTTGATGCTAATTTGGGTTTTGAATTTCCTTGTTCTTATTTTTGCTTAGGGGGGGGGGGGTGTAGTTAATATTGTAACTTACTTAGGAGGTGTAGAAGTGTCCGGTTACCGAAACATTTCAAGAGACATACTTTGAAAAAAATATATAATCACCAAAATATGCTTCATAAGAAAATTTAAGCTGAATTTTTATAATTATTAATTTATAAATAAAATGAAAACCAGCTGCTATGGGACATATTCTAAATGCTGCGGAAGGTCCTAATTGCGTATATTGTCCTAGAGCTAATTCCATAAAATAGATGGGTTTGCCGACCAGTAAGAGCATTATAATATAAGGTATCAAATATGCACCTTAAAAATGAATAAATATTTTTGAGTTATTTTAAATTTTTAGCCTCGATTCTCCTAATCTAGACGTAAAATTTTAAAGTATTATTATATAAATTTATTAATATTCAATTTTTTTTAAAAAATATATATATTATTTTTGACAGGTGACTCCTAACTTAAGTGAATCTAGATTATATATATATGTATATATATTTTTTAAGTAATTGTAGAATATCTATATTTTTTTTAAAAAAAAAGAATATTATATCATCCGCAATTGTAATCCGATTTTGATGATGTTCTTTTGTGAAGTTTAAAATTTTGTGTATTGCGCACGATTTAAGCGTTTACCTTTTACCCTATAAAGAATTGGTCATAGACAAACGTGTAAAATAAACGGATAAAAAAAAGTATTGAAAAAGCAACCCAGTTTGCGTTTTTATAAATGGTTTCTAACGGCAAATAGTAATTTGAACAATTTTACCATTTGAAATGCAATATTTTCGTTTGCAGCGCAGCGTTTAAAACGCTCAATTTGTTCGAACTAGTGTTGTTAAAAAACTAATTTCTGGTCGATTTTTTTAATAATGACCCGAGTATGATATAGCTAAAATAATATTATGTAAGTCTGGAGATTTTGTTCATAGATGGCAGAAAGGTTTGGACCTTTTTGCCAAATCTAGAATCATGCATATATAATTTTGGCTAAAATCTTATTCGGGACGTTTTAAAAATATACCCAAATCGGGCCTTTTAAAACACTAGTGCGCGCACTATAATGCATCATGTCAATGCTATGATATTTAATGTATAATAATAATACTAGTATACAAAAATTTAATTTACATAATATACAAAATAAATTTGGTTAAATTTTATAATAAATTAACCTCCTCCATTTTGATAGGCCACATAAGGAAAACGCCATACATTTCCGAAGCCGACAGAATAACCAATCGTGGACAATATAAATTCCAAATGATTAGACCATTGATCACGTTTATTTTTGTTTTTAGTTATTGAATTACCGGTGTCTCCGTTGATTGGGTCGATATTTTTTTCATCCATATTGGAAATTTGCGAGCTGAAATAAATGGATAATATTTTATATGGGTTAGAAAATTTGAATTATCTTTAATTATAAAAAAATAATTAATGAAAATTTTCATTTTCATTTATATTATATATAAAATTGAAAATATCGTACTTGGTACATGACTCATTGTGATTGAATTTTATTTTTCTATCATAGTTTTAAAAAGGAATTTATTTATATTTTGTGGATAACTAAAATACTTGTTTTATTTAATCATTTTTTTTTTAATTTTAAACTTAAATATTATATATAAGAATTTAGAATATTTTAAAGATTTAATACATAATCAACAATTTAAAATTTTATCAAAGTTTTTAGTAATAAATCATTAAAGAATCTTTTTTATCTTCCTTCTACTTTTAAACCAATTAAATGATTATTTATAATATGTAAAGTAAACGCAATTTTAGGGAATTGGAAAATTGGATATTGTATATTTTTTTTTATAAATAGAATTAGTCAAAGAGGTCATTAGTAAGTGGGTGGGGGAGGTGAAAAAGGAGTGGGAAAATGTTTGATTTAATTAAAAAATAAAAATGAATGCCTTTAACTAGGGATCCAAACCGAACCTAAACCGAACCGTTAAACCGCTAAAAACCTGTATTTTTATCGAACCTAAACCTCTAAAAAATTCTTAGCTGAACCTGAACCGAACCGCTAAAATGCCTCTGAACCGGTTCGAGTCTCATAATTTTATGCTTATAAAATAATGTGTAAGTTATTACTAATAGTATATTGCAAAAATTTTAATTATATTCAAATTGTTTTAAAAATTATTAACAATCACATTTGATGATAAACGTCAGTCATAATTTTTATAAAGTTTAGTATATTGCCATTGTGTAATATTTTTTAAATATTTTAAGCTTATAAATTATAATGCCTAGAAAAAAATTTAATCTAATATATAAATTATTTACATATAGTATTATAAATGACACATCAAATCTGATATCATACTGGCAATGCCAGCTACCCAAGTTAGTGTGGAAGGATGTTTTTCAACAATTAAATTTATATTATCTCCTTATAGATGTAATTTGAGTGAGACGAATTTTGAAAATATATTAATTGCGCAGCTTAGTAAAAAAAATTTAAGTAATTGTTCATATTTAAATTAATCATTGATATATTTATTTGTTATATTTGTGCAATTAATAAAAATGAAGGTTTTTATTTTAATTATGAAATAAAAAAAAAATCCTTATACATAATCCTAATGTAGGTTTGAATACAAATGTGTTCAAACCGGTTTTTAGAGGTTCGAACCGAACCGATATTTTTATTTTTTGTGAACCGAACCTGAACCTTGAACCGTTATTTTTATCCGAACCTGAACCGAACCGATATTCGTTTCGGTTTGGATCCCTGCCTTCAAATATTAGTAATTTGTAGGGATCAAAGCCCGGCATTGATTTGAATTTTTCATTTTTTAAACCTAATTTTTTTAAAAAAATTTTATATCCTATTCTGGCCCAATAATTTTTTAAAAAAATTTTACGATCCGGATTTTTGAAATTTTTGCTATTATAATTTTAACTATTTGTAAAATTGTTTTAAATGAAAATGGGAAATATGAGGAAGTTAAATATTTCGGTATATGGATTTTCCAACCAGAATTTTTATTTATTTATTTATTTTTTGAAAAAACAAAAGATTTTTGATCAAATTTTACCTAAAAAGGCCAAAATCTTTTACAATAAATCTATTGTAATTTAGATGCATAAAAAAAATCTTTCAAGATGAAATCAAAAATTTTTTAAAAAAATATATTAAACTCTGTATTCCCAAATTAATTTAATTGAGATAATTTAGAATTATTTCAAAAATGAATTCTTCCGGTCTTGTCCGGGGTAAAAAAAAAAATAATATAATTTTAGACTTCAGTTTGAGTTTGTAATTTTTTTTATTTTTAAGCCTGGTCTAGCCCGGATTTTTAAAATTATACAAATTTCGGCGGCTCCTGGTAGAACCAGTTAAAAAGGCAGGACCGTTTTAGACTACCTACTTTCTGAAATCTACAATAAAAGTAGAAGAGAAAATTTTTTTTAAAAGGAGCCAATATTTCATGTACATCATTTCATTTACAATAATATATTCATCTTCTAGATTAAATACGCTGAATATTCCCTTAATTCAAATTCAATTGATATAACATTAAATTAGTTATTATTAGTATTAAAAGTTAGTATATAAACTTAATTTTAGTTTTACTAAATATAAAAAAGGAAAAATTATCCCCACCCCCTTTTCCCATATCTCCAGTCCTTGCGGCTATGTTAAACTACTTGTAACGCCGGAAATATTATAATTTAAAGTGTTCTTAACCTTTCCTGCTTTTAAAGGTTTATACCCTGGTGTCCCTTAAGGTAAAAACAAACACATCTAATAAAATAAACTATGATTATTTAATTGTAAAATATAAATGGCTGTGCCAATTATAATGTGCAGAACTAAATATTTACAATTTCACAGGTCATATAAATATTCGGTAACTCATTGAAACTAGGGGAAATTTTTAATATTTTTTTTTATATTTTTTAAAAAAAATTTTTATTAAAAAAATAATAAATATGCGATCGTCTGGATATTGATGAAAATTTTTTGATGTAAAAATAAATCAAAGTATTACTCAAAAGTTTTAAGAATTAATGGAAGGGGTAAATTAAACATTGATAAATCTTAAAATTTAATATTTTTAAGTTATAACAATCTTAATGAAAATGGATATGATCATTACTCGGCCAATCATAGCAGAAACTTTATAGACCCAAATGATATATTGACCCATACTCAATGTATTGAGCGTCTATGGAGAGATCTTAAGGCAAGCATCCCCAGAAATGGAAGAAAATTTTCTAATCATTAATATGTATATGAATATTCCTATTTTCGTAATATTAAAAATATGTCAAATTTAAATAAATTTTTAAATGATATAAATTTTTCTAATTTTGTTCCTTAAAATTATAAATATATCTATATTTTCATTGTTTATATATTATGTTTATTCAAATAAATTTATATCTAGTATTTGATTTAATAGTCCTAACTTAGTAGCATCATGGCACACGCCTTTTTAAAATTTTTAAATAATATAATCCATTTATATTGTAAAATTAAAGAATTGTGATAATTTTCACAAAAATAAATTTCCACCAATATCCAGTAGAGATCAGCAATCGTACCCGGGCCAGGTCTAATATTTTTAAGAAAATTCGGGCCGGGTCAGGTCGAGCCTTAGAAATTTTTTAAAATATATCTAAATTTATCAATTCTATGTTGAATTTTTTATGTAAAATAAAAGTATGTGATTTTATTTATAGAAAGTAAACGCCAAATAACATATATCGTTTATTTTGAGTAATTATAAAAATTAATTTCTATATTATATAGATTCGGGACAGGCCGGCAAAATTTTTTAAAAAAGGTTTCGGGCTGGGCCGGGTAAAACTTTATAAAAAAAATTCGGGTTGGCTCAGGCTTGAATAATTAGGCCCGATGCAGATCACTAATATCCAGACGATATCATATTTATTTTAAAAAATATTTAAAAAATATATTTAAAAATAATAATATTAAAAATTTTCCCGAGATTCAGTGAGTTACCAAATATTCTTATATTTTTTTTAAATCCATTTTTAATGAACTGTTTTATTAAAATGATTTGACAAATGAAGAAAACTTCTATAATGGAAAAAATGATTAATTACTCGAAAATGCATAAGAAAATAGTGTTAAATTTTTTTTTAAATAAATTATATATTTATTATTTAAATACTTATTTTTAATCAAAATTTTAAAAAATCCACATATTTTTCACCGATCCGATATTTATATTGATTTTTTACCACCCTTCTTTGAACCAAATGTAATTAAGAAATTAATATTTTTTATGCAAAAGAATTATGCATTTAATTTAATTTTTTTATTTCAACAATAATTTTAAAAAAAATAATATTATAATAGATAAAATAAATATACTAATATATCCATTTTATGTTGGTATGAATTATAAAATTGTAATATTTAATATATAAAATTATAAGATATTAGATTTTTAAAAAATAATTTTCAGTATTCCTCCCCGTGAAATTAGAATTCCGCAGATAACTCATTTTGCAAAATTTTCTTTGTCTTTTTTAAAATATTTCCATAATTCAGAAACCATATTTAAAATAATTCTTTTATTTAAAGTATAAATAATAAAATTGGTGTTATTTTTTAAAATAAATAAAACTTTGGGTTTTCCTTTCTATTTTTATAAAAAAAACATTTAAAATCTATTTTAAAAAAATAAATAACATTTGCATTGTTTAAATAAAAATTATTTAAAAAATATTATTAATGTAAAATAATAACTCAATGAAACTCGGGGAAATTTTTTTTTTTTAAATATTTTTTTAAAAAAATTTATAAATATGATGTAATAATAATTCAAAGTTTCATTACTCAAGATGCAGTAGTTTTAATGATGATTTGAGTTCAGAACGGCTAGTTTTAAGAATTGCATTTTTAGTAAAAATATCGGATCGGATCAGTTTTACGAGTATCGGCCCAATCCGATATTTTTAGAAACGCTAAATATCGGTACCGATCCGATCCGATTTTTAATATCGGTACAGCCCTAAAAAAAATAAACTAAAATAACTCAAAAATGGTCTGAAAATAATTCAAAGGTCAACGGAATGAAGAGAAAAATTAAGTCAAACAATAATAAATAAATAAAAAAAAGGGTAAAAGAAAATATAAGAACAAGCAAAAAGGGGGAAAATAAAGTTTAAATTCTTATCTAATAAAATATAGGCGTGAGCAATTTTTTCAAATATAGGGGGGGGGGGGGAGTGTACAAATTTTTTTACCCAGATACTCATTTCACCGCCATTCGTCCAGATCCCGCTCCGAAAGATTAATTTTTTCAAATATAGGGGGGGTTGTACAATTTTTTTTTACCCAGATACTCATTTCACCGCCATTCGACCAGATCCCGCTCTGAAAGATTTTGATTAGGTATTCTTGTTTAAATATCTTTTATTTTTCTATTTTATATTATTTATCATCTCCCATTCAAGGTTGGCTGAACAATTGGAAGCACTAATTCTAAAATTTGCGTCAATATTTCGTTCTTTATCCAGCAGAGTAAAGGAAAATAAAGTTTATTAGCAAAATAAATTTTGATTAAACCTGGGTTTGAAAATGGACTGAAAGCATTTATTATGAATATTTTAACATTGTTTATTGTTTAATTATTATTGTTTTAATCCGTTTGGTAGATAATTGAAAAAGTTCTTAGCATAATAAGTAAAGATTTCTAATTGCGAATATTTAATTCCTAACTATAACTTTAATTCAGCAATTAGTTTTGTCAACAGCAAAAATTAAACCGAGTTAAGAACAAAAGATATACATGTCCCGCTTTAAGCTTAAAATGGGCTAAGAGTTAAACACTAATTCTAAAAAAACCAAAACAATAATTAGCGCTTGATTAGTATAAATTTTATTGCTTTCATCTATTTAATATATGGTTTAAAAGGGAAAAAAAAGTTTTTCATAAAATAAGAAAAATTACCAGAATTGGCACTATTGTAGAACTAATAATATAGAAGTTCTAAATATGTGGTTTTTGCTAATATTTTTTGTACATATAAGTTTTATCAATCAATGTCACCAACCAAAACAAGTATTATAACAAAGTAATAACTATGATTTATCATATCACGCCTTAGCTACCTCTTGGTATAAAATTATTAAAATTAAAATTTGCAAATTTTTTTGCACTCCTTTTTATAATACAAAAATGTGGGTACAATTTTTCGCCACATAATATTTAAAGATGATATCAATTGAAACAAATAAATAAAGTAAATAAAATACAGAAACCATTAAAAGAGAGTGTATTGCATCTCATATTTATTGATCTTGAAAGATGTTAATAATTAGAAAATAATATAACCTAAGTCAATATATCAAAAAAACATTAGAACTATTTAAACAATGCTGATTTGAAAAAAATTTTATTTGTAATTTACCATATGTAAAATATATTATTTTATTAATAAAATTCAGAATTCCGTAAATTATATGAATAACAATTATCATTGTTTGTAACATCTTTAAATCATCATAATCGACATACAATTATCAATCTTAAAATGGTTTATAATTAGTACTAAAATAAAATAAATGATGGGTGAAAATGAAAACGATTAATAATAATAACTACATATGCTGCTGTTGTATACTTGAAAATAGAAAAGGACAAATGTCTATCCCATATGGGAGAAGAAATTTCTCAAATCAATTTTAAAAAATAAAATATAAAAGGAAATTTAATCTCTATTTTCCAAAAGTGAGAAGAGCTGGAAGAGGGGGGGGGGGGTGGATATTAAAAATTACAAAATTAATAAAATAGGAGAAATAATTCCCTATAAATATATCCACGAAATAAAAATCCTCAAATAAAATATTTAAAAATTTTGAGAAAATCAATTCCGGGGAATTATTTGCTAAGAATTATTATTGGGGATTTTTCTTCCGGGGAATTATTTTCCGCTTACCAATCTCAACTTATAGCTTTTCGTCTAAATATTAAAAAAATCCATTGCCTTTTTTCTTATGCCAAAAGATATATATAATAACCACTAAAGTATAGTCTCTTACAATTTATATGCTTGTCTAGGGTGTGGGAATTCTGAAAATATATCTTAAAAAAATAAGAAATGCTATTTTAGACTTTTATAAACATTTTGGTTTTACTTTTATGGAATTCAAGAGAAGAAGAGATCTTTCAAGTTTTTATAAATGTCAGATTTATTATTTAAAGTGTATCGTTTTTTTATCAAATGGATTTAATAATCTTCAAAAAAAGAAAAATGCGGGATAAATAATATATTATCAATTTCATCATCTTCATTTCGCTCCCTATATGAATATAATGTCCCTTAAAGCTAAATTTAATAAAGAACTATTTTTATTTTTTGGCAAGTTTTCAAATTTCATGAATAAATATTTGTAAAATTAAATAAAGAAAAAATAATTATATTTTTAAGGTTGTTTTAGTATAAAAAAACCATATAGCAGATAAAATAAATGATCATTACCACTCGCAGCTTCAACTTAAGCTGTGGCTCCATTTGACATTACCGCATACCAAAAACTCCTCTATAAACATGATAATATCACAATAAAGTTTGATCTATATTAATATTGTATTTTTTCACTTAATGACTTTTGGCAGGAAGGACTCAGATAGGCAACTTCTTCGTTTCAAAAGAATGCAGCCCACTGTTTTGATTTATTTGCAAGAAAAGACCTATATATTAATTAGTAGGTACATTTGCTTACTTCCCACACTTTACTGGGCAACAAAAATATAATTAGGTAATACTCCACTTATATATACGCTCATTATTATTTGAGCCTAATTGTCTACCATTGCAATAAAGACGTCAGACCAATCGCCATATGACCAGTCTTTCAAAGACTCATCGCACCCAGCTTGATGGTGTTGTTTCCATTTTTTTTGTTCCCAAAAAGCTAGGTATTTGTATAAAAAGTGTTTGCAAGGAGCGGCTCATGCTGCTAGAATATATCATCAAAATAATTCATAAAAACTATTTAAAAAAATATCAAGTTGAACATATCCAGAGATTAGAGAATGAAATAAAGCGAAATTTTAAATAATTCTTAACCTATAAATAAAATATTTAAATATTTTTATATAATTTAATTGAATACAATTGCAAAATTTTTTGTGGTTTTCTGATTTTTTTTTATTTGCAAAATTTTCTATTATCTCTTCAATAATTTAAATTGTTTACGATGTCATTCTCTATTTAAATTAGCATTTCCTCTATCACAGTTATTATCAATTTAAGTTTTGCAAACTTATTTACTGAAATTGGTATTTTTTCATATTCTTAATAAAATCTATTGTATATATTAGATAGTGTTGTTAACAGGGTTTCGAACCGTTTAGTATAACGGTTCGGTTCGTTCCGGTTTTTAGTTTAAAATTTTATAAAGGTTTTGTTCCATTTCGGTTTTTAAAAAAAAATCATATCGGTTCGGTTCGGTTTATAATTTAAAACGGTTCTTTTCGGTTTGTTCCGGTTTTTATAAATTTAATTTAAAAAAAAATTAATCATTAACCATGTATATATTAATTTTAGAGAAAAATATTTTTAGTTTATAATTTCTTATTTAATTTATCCATGATAATCTAATAGATATTTTTATTAAATTTAGGAAATATAAATTAGACAAATTCGTTTTTTTTTATTTTATAAATAAATAAGATAAAAACAAACATGCGTAAATACAATAATGAATAAAATAATATGTATACTATACTATTTAGGTTTAAAAAGAGAATTCGAACGGATAACTAAAATATTTTTAATATTTCAGGATTTAATTTAGTTCTCTGGGCAGAGAGTATAAACTTAAGGCTTGAAAATGCTCTTTCTACGGAGACCTGCGTAACTGAAACTGCTAGCACAGTTATAGCTAACTTATAAAGTTCTGGCATACTATTCTTTACATTTTCCCAATAATTCAAAAGATTAGTATCTTTTTCTAATCTCTCTATATTATCAAATGAACGAATTATATATTCTATTTCTATACATTTATTATAATTTTCGATGCCCTGAGAATTATTCTTATTAAGACTTTCATGCGACTTTAATAAATCTTCAAAATCATCATCTAAATTATCCTTCGAATACGAACACGTAGGCATAGTATTTAGAATTTCAATATTCTGATTATTTAGATTTTGTATCAAGTTCCAAGTTTTACAAAGATGTTTTCTGGCGATCTCTCTTTCTTCAAAAGTTAAAAATACATTATATCTAGGGTCGAGATAAATAGCAGAGCAAAAAACTTCATTTTTGAAATTTATTTCTCGTGCTTTCATCGTAGAAACTAAAAGTCTGGCAAATGGAGTGTCTACTTTACTCGTTTGCATGAGACATTTGATCCACGCAGCATAAAAATCGCCCATTGTCAATTGTTCACTTTGTAAATATTTTGTCAAAACATAAGCTGGATATAAAGCTTTTAATATGTCACTAATTATTTTCCATTCATTCTCTGATAAACATTTTTCGCGATCGCTTTGGAGCGATATTTCTTGGCAAAAGCTTTTTAACTCTAGTAATCTCTCCAACATTAAATAGATAGAGTTCCATCTTGTGCAACAATCTATTAGTGGTTTTTTCAAATTTAATTTTGAGAGAATAGCCATTGTTGTCTGATTTCTTATTTTTTTGCAGATGTTTCTTGCTTTATTTATAATTACAATTTCATTTGAATTTTTAATGCAATCATTAATTGCTAATTGAAATGTATGTGAAGCACATCTAATACCTATTAATATGGATCTGGCATTTGGTGCAAGATTAATATTTTCAATATTAAAAAGTTCTTTATTTTCATCATGAATTATATCATTATTATTTAAATCGTCATTATCTATATCATTATTATTTAAATCATCATTAATTAAATAATCGTTAAGGTCATCATCTTCATCATCTTCTTCATCGTGTAGTATTAATAGCTTAATTAACTTAATCATATTTGCTGCATTATCGGTGGTTATTGTGTAAATCTGCTCAATTTTTATTTCATATTCTTTTAGAACATCTAGAATAATTTTTTTAAGATATTCTGATGTGTGTCGTTCTTTAATCACTTTCATGCATAGAGTCCTTAATTTTATTTTTCCGTTATTTATAAATTGAATATTGATCCCCAATATGGATCTATCATATCTAGTTGCTATATCTAATTTTAACGAATTAAGTTTTTGATATACTTCAGGAAAATTAAAATTTTAAATTTAGGTTAATAATTTAAAATTAATTATTTTTAAAACCGTTTTGAACCGGTTTAAAATATTTATAACGGTTCGGTTCGCTCTTTTAATATTTTCTTCATAACGGTTCGGTTAAGGTTACGGTTCAGAAAATCATAACGGTTCATTTCGGTTTTGCGGTTCGGTTCGGTTCGAACCCCTGGTTGTTAAAGCTCAAAATAATATTATGTGAGCCTAGAGATTTTTTTTTCTCATAGGTGACAGAAAGCTTTTATCTGCCAAATCCCTAGGAATATTATTTGGGCTAAAATCTTAATCGGCGGTTTTTAAAAATCGACCTGAATCAGTCTTTTCAACAACCCTAATATTATGATAACACAGAAGATAATTCATTTGAATAGATACATTGTAAAAGTCCAGCATTTTATTTAATAATTAAATTGATTCTTTTATTTATTCACAAAACAATAAATAATAGTCGATATTAACTTTTCTTTATTAATTTAGACCCTAGAAATTGACAATATCTGTAAACATCTTACCTCAGGCTGACACTTAGAGAAAAAAATTTGTCACACATATTTTTATTTGTATAATCAATTTTAGTTTTTTTAGTTTTCATTTTAGGTAATTCAATTCATACACAACCCAATATATTGTGAAGATCATAATCCGGTTTTTGGTTCGGACAGGGCCGATGCACACAGACCGAATCGAATCACGGTCCGCATTATTTTTTAAAATAATATTTTCGTTTTTACCTAATTAAATTCACGTTTTATCATTTTATAAAACAAAAAAGCTTTTTTATTAACAATATCAAATCAAATATAAATAATATAATAAATAATACAAATAAATAATACAAATAAATAATACAAATAAATAATACAAATAAATAATACAAATAAATAATACAAATAAATAATACAAATATTTAATATAAATATTTAATATAAATGTAAACTGTTTTTTCTAAAACTTTTAGCATAGTATATTGCAAAGTAAAAATCAACTAAAAAAGAAAGAAGAATTATAAAAACGAAAGTAAATCCTTTAAAGAAATAATATAAAATAAAATATACACATAAATTCATTAAAAAATTATATGAAGGGAATAGTAATACAAACTTAAATATTAATAAAAGACCGGTCCGGAACTTGGTCCGTACTAAAAAACAATTTAAAAACCGGTCCAGACTGCGATCCTGGAAAAATCGGACTTTTGATCTTCACTACTAATATCTATAAAATAAAATTAGAGTGATGTGAAAAAATTAAAAGTTTTCTACAAGAAAAATATATAAAAATAGTGAATGAATTTAAAATTCATTAAATTTGGTTAAAGAAATAGAACCAATTTAATGAATATATTACATATATCAGCTTTATCTCAAAATAATTTTTTTTAAATAAAACACTAAAATATTTTAATTGAATTATCTTATCCCTGGGTGATGCATCTTACAATCTGTTGCAGATACCTATAGAAAAATATGTAGTAATGTAAATATTTCATTTTCATTTCTTAATAAATATCAGAGACCTGCAGAGGTACCAATTGTACGGTCCGGCCCAGATTAAAAAAATTTCGGCCCGGCCCGGATTTTTTTCCATAAATTTTTTACGCCCCGGCCCGGCCCGGGTTTAAAAATTTTAGGCCCGGCCCGGTCCGGCCCGAATATTCAAAAAAAAATTTTTAGGCCTGGCTCGGAATTTTTAAAAATTATATTCGACCTGGTATATTCAAAAAATTCATTATTTCGTATTTTATCATATTTTTCGGCGAGTATTATCATTTAATAAGCAAGTATATTAGCTAATGTTGTTAAACGGCTCGTTTTGAGTCGATTTTTAAAAACGGCTAACTCAATATTTTCGCCAGAAAAATATTCACTAAGCCTCGAAATTTCGATACTATATGTCTAGACCTTTGCTCCTTCTATGAGCAAAATTTTCAGGCTTGCATAATATTTTCCTGGATAAAACACTGAGTTAGCCGTTTTAAAAAATCGGCTCAAAACGAGCCGTTTAACAACATTTTTTTTTTATTCTAAACAGATATTTAGTATATTACAAATTAATACTATAAAAAATTTGTGTAAATATAATTTTGAGAATATACTATGCATTTATAAAAAAAATAAAAATGATATTTTTAATAAAAAATATAACATATATATTTAATCCTTTGCGTATTTATTCCATGGCAGGAAAACCATAATTTTATTATTTAATAGATACTATGAGTGTTAGCTAGTGTTAACTTTCACCAAACATTATATTAATCATAACTATATATAATCATTATAACCATATCTAATTGACGAATATAATAATTCATGTTGTATAAATTTTTTAAAAAAATACGGCCCGGCCCGGGTTTTTTTTTAAAAAATTTTCAGGCTCGGCCCGGGTATATTTTAAAAATTTAAAATATGGCCCGGCCCTATATACCAAAAAAATATTTATTTTTATAATTATGTTTATAGTTTTCTATACCAGTTTTAAAAAAACATATTATGGTGATGTAATTTGGTTATATTTTTCTACCTTTAAAGGCTTAAATGCAATTCAAGAGCATCGATAGCCTTTTGAAGTGTGAAGGACTTATTTTTTTTAAAAAATCAAAAAACGAAAAATAGGAAATCCAATCCAATATTCATAAAAAATTTGGATGACTCGCCAAACTTTTCAGAGAACTTGATTTATAAAAGCAGAATTTATTCCTAGCACTATAAATATATAATCCATAGGCATATACTATGAGCTGGAATTTGTATATTTAATTATTATTTTAAGCTAATTAACACCACTCATATGTTTAGCCAGGATATTGCTAAGGAAGGTAGAGGCCACTATGAGGTGTTTTCGCAAAAATTTTTTATTGGAGGTCCTTAGGGTTCACTAATTGTAATTTTGATTTTTCACTTCTTTTTTTATAAAAATTTTCAATAATAGTCGTTATTTAAAAGTAATATTAACTTTTATTTAATTTTTAAAAATTGGTTTAGAGTGATATATTATATATATTGGGAGGGGAGAGAGTGGGTGGCGGTGTATAGAGGGTGAATTTTTATTAGCTTAAAATAATATTTGCGAGAACAGGCAAATTTCAGAATGGGGAATTTTTCCCTTTCCGCCTTACGCCTATGATACTACCCCTGATTAAATCCTGTAGTTCATACATACAATTAACCACACAAGATGAAAGCTAAATCTAAAATAAAAACGGTTATATTTATATACTGGGCTAATGAAATTGGACTAAGCCTACTACACGAAAGACTTGTATCTAGTTGGGGTTGGCTATATAGGCGACCCATTACTAGAGATAAAAAAATTTTTTTGACTATCTTAGGCGTATGCTTCTATTAATCAGAATATTTTTTAAAAATATATTAAATGACAAACCGGAAATCGGAATGGTAGATAGAAAATTATCCAATCAGGGTTGCAATGGGCATGCCCCGAAAAATTACACATGGAGCATAAACTATCATAATATAGAATATTGAAATGAAAATATTTGTTAATGAATTAAATATATTTATTAGATTAAAAGAATAAATGAATTAATTAGAGATGATGCAATTTTTTTCTCTCTCTTAGGCTGCCTTCTGCTTAGCTCGTTTTTTCTTTTCTTTTTAGAATTCACAGTCTAAATAGAATGCGATTTTTAAACTAAGGAAAAATAAGAATACATACATATTAAGTATATTTTATAGGTATCATCTTATTTCCTTGTAATAATAAAAATTAAAATAACCGATAAAGGTATCCTAAAAGCTTTTCTGAATAAAACGCTCTAATCAAAATTAATGTTTGCAATTTTTCTTACCCTCGAATAAAAAATTAATAAAATATATTTAAAATTATTTAGTAAATTTTAATAAAAGAAGAAAGCCCGAGATATTTTTTATATATAATTTATTGACATGAAAGTATTTATAATTATCAACAATTCATCCTTACTAGTTAATATCCACAAACAAAAGGTGAATACAATTATATGATATTTATCACGTTCAAAATATAAATGATAATCTCAATAACTTATCGAATAGTATATAGTAATATAATAATATTTAATATTAAATTTCTTAAAATTTAATATTTTTTATAAAAATAATAATTATGCAAACATCATTAAGATGACCTGAAGGTATAAATTATATTGTATATACCTTTTATATTTATCTCAATTTTTTTTTTGATATTTCTTAGCCCTTCAAAATATTTAAACTTGAAATGAAACTATTTCCAATTTTAATATATTTTTCCCTTTAAATCTGTAAATATTTTGAGAATTTTTGATGTAATTCATATCAAATATTATCATTTTTAATATTTAACATTTTACTATATTTAATTTATGAAATTCTTAAATTAAATTGAAAGAAAAAAAATAAAACGAATTAAAAAAATAAATTTTTATATAATTTATTTTTATAAAAACATAGTATTGTGTTGATTAATTTGTTTTTTAATTTAAATTTATGAGGTATGATCATTTTTGAATATCGGCTACTCAAATCAACTAAAATTTAAAATAAAGGTCTATATCGACACTGATTGATACCATTGATATCCGGAGAGATTTGCTTTCTTATATTGAGAGGGGGGGGGGGGTAAACCGATTAGAATGATGTTTTGGGATATAAAATTTGATTAAACTAGATATATTTTTAGTATTGCTTTAAAGGACGATCATGTATAAATCCTGAACTAGCGACACGGATTGAAATACCGTAATATTTGGATGATTTTGATTTAAGTTCGTCAAAACTTTTAATTAATATCTTTATTAATTATAAATTAAAAATTAGATTTAAATAATTGTGTCCCTTTAAATGAGTTAAAATATCTAAAAATTTTAATTCTTTCTAATATATAAAAATTACTTGAAGGTGAAAATGGGGGAAAATTTTTTTAACAAAAGGAGAAGAAAAAGAAAAATATGATAAATTTTTTAAAAAAGTAAAATGAAAAAAATATAAAAAGGGATATAAGGGATTTTTTTTTAGGAAGTACATATGAAAACAAGCAGACTTAACAAAATGATGTAGCACTAAGAAGCACTACCTAGACAGCGTAATGAAGGCGTATAAGATTGATTCCTTTCGCATAGATGTAACGACCATGGTACAGTGAAAAGACAATATGATAAGCAAGGAATAAAAAGTGCAAAATGGGATAATTAAATAACCCAACTGACATTATGACTATACGATAAACAACGAGTATCACGATATGAAATTCAGGTTGATCACATAGCAAAGAGGGGACAATAATTTTATAATTTTTTGGCAAAATATATTTTTAAATTAAATTGGAATAAATTTAGGCATTTTACATTATATTATTAGATTCAAATGGAATAGATAAATTTGATATGAAGATAGGTGATCTGTACGGGCCTAATTTTTAAAGCCCGGCCCGAAATTTTTTTATAAAGTTTGGCCCGGTCCGGCCCGAACCCTAATTTTTTTTAAAAAAATTTGCAGGACCGGCCCGGCCCGAATTTATTTAAATATAAAAAATATTAGGCTCGGCGCGAAGCCCGTTCGGGCCGGGCTGGGCCTACTTTTACAGATTTCTAATGAGGATATTCTAATAGAAATTGTTCTGATCTCTAAACTATTATCTCATCTCATACAATTTATACATTTTATTTGGAAATATATATTTAATTAAACTGAAACGAGATTTTACATTCTAATTATTTTTTTAATAATTATAAAATTAGAACTATTAAATTTGAATTTACTAGTCTCTTATTTTAGTCATTTTTAGAAAATCTTTTCCTGCACTTTAATTTTATAGTCATAGTTTTTAATATGTTCAACATTATTAAAAATTATAAATATTCAATTAAAAGCAACCTATGTAACAATAGCTATATATTTTTAAATTTCGTTCTTATTTGTAATGTTTACCGTTGTACGTACTACAGGATCAAAAACTATTCTTAATAATAATTACCTGAATGAAATATTTTACAATTTTATTAATTTCCTATAAAAAGGGATTTATTTAGAGGGGGAGGGGGGGGGGGTAGGTTTAGGTGTTTGAGGGGATTTTGCCAGTGAATGTCAAGTCATGTAGAGGCTGTGTGTGTTTACTATTAGTTATCCGCTAAGACTTCTTAATTAAATTAAAATGGAATTGTCCGCAATAAAAAAAACTGAATAATTGATAATAATTTTTTATTAAAATAAATTGAAGTAAAAATAATGATCTTATATTGCTTCAAAATCGGTCTTTTATATTATACAATAAAATAAATAATAAATTCTTCTCTAAAATAAAATAGGACTCATCCTGAGTTTTACAAATTATACAATTTAAAATCAAAAGCTAGCCCCGTTGTTTTACGGCCAGATTATTACACATAAAAAAACTTTAATAAAGATAAAAAATATATACAATAAAATAAAGAAAAACAACTTCAATTATAACACTCACATGTCAATAAATCTTCCTTACGCAAGACTATAACAGAAAGAAAATTTTATTTTTCAAAAAGTAACTTGTTTTGCCTTCAGTTCTATTTTATCGATTAGAGCACAAAAGGTAAATATACTAAATTTGGTGGAATAAAAAAAACTTTTTATATTGATATTGTTGTGTTTATAATAAATTAAAATGTGTAAATTTTTGAAAAATGTCTTTATTTTTGAATTATCTTTTTATTCATTATTAAATATTCATATTTTGTTTTAAATATTTGGATATCTTTAAAAAAATTAACGTCATTTTTTCTATGAGTTATATTTTTCTTATCAGCATTATATTATTAGTATGAATAAATAAAAATTTAATTCTATAAATTTTCTTAAAATATAAAAGAAAAATATTTAATATAATTTGATCTAAGCTAAAAATTTATAACCCCTCCGATTTCAATGACCATTTTCGTCACACCTTTCTTAGTAAAAGTCCTTAATTTCTTAAACTCCAATTTAAAATTTAAAAACAATTTTTCATTATTTTATCATGATTCAAAAAAATAATCAGAACACGTTATTCCGTTCAATGGACTACAAATATTTCGAAATGGCGTTGCTATTTTCTATTTGTCCCACTGAAAGTAATTTTATAAAAGTTCTTTTATGGCTATTTCTTTAATTAATGGTTTTTGGGTTAAACTTATTTTAACTTTAATCTCAAAAACAGTTTAGATATATATAAGATATCGGAGTCGTATTTCTAGAAAGTTGCTCAAAGAGTTTAAGAGGTATCTAAAACCTGAAAACTTTGAGCAGGATATGATTATTTTATAATCATGGGATGGGCAGACAGATGGAGAGAATAATTTTTTGTGATGGTGGTCTGTAAATATTTTTATATCCAAATTATTACATAAAATTGTATATAAGGAAAGTCAAGACTAATTAAATCAAAAATTATAAATATTGGTCAAATATTTTTTTCCATAGATCAAAATACTATTTCCTGAAATAAAATTCTTGGTAGCAAAAATACTCGATTTGAATTCAAAAGCCTACCTAGGCCAAAAATATGTTAAATATATACCTAGAAAAATAATTGGCTAAGGCCGAGAATAGACAAAAGCCCAGCGAGCCAACCCATCAAGCCGTTCCTTAAAAAGTTCATGGGGAAATTCAAACAGTAGGTGCTCTCTATTTTGCTGGAATGCAACTCTGGCATAATTGGATTTATCAAAAATATAAAGTACTTTATAAATAGCAGTGTCCTGAATTTTCAAGAGCCCAATATTAGTATACAGTTTTAAAATTGTTATTAAGATACGAGTGATCAAATGTATATGTCTTATGAATAGTCATATAATTTAAGCAATTATATATTCGAAGGAAAAATAATTTCTTTACGCCATCTCATGCAAGGGAAAAGAATATGAAATTAATATAAAAATGATTTATTGGCAGTATATTTATAGAAATTAAAGCCAATTTAAAAATAATATTCACAAAACAAGGCATATATTTTTTTTTTCAAAATAACTTTTATATGAATAACTCCCAATGACATAAAATATGTTATTGATAACTCCTCACAAAATTTATTAATAATGTCAATATTTTAATCTGTATCTGTCACTCACCTTTCATGTCATTTAAAAATTCTTTACTTTATTAAAATGGCATCTACATTAGTTGTAGCTGGAATTGGATTAGCTATTGCCGGCTATGCTGGTAAATAATCAATCAATATATTTAAGTTGTATTTTTAGGGAGATATTTACCTCAATTATCTAGACCAATAATAAATTCCTTACAAAATAAAATTAAAAACTTTTCACCTCAAGTAAAATATCTAATTAACATTTGCCTATGTTTTTATAGTCATTAACTAAATATTACCAAGGAGGTTTTGATCGAAATATGACTAAAAGAGAAGCCTCATTGATACTTGGAGTAAGGTTTTATATATTTTTCCAATTAAATTCTAGCAACACATAGTCAAAATGCAAGTAGGGCAAAGGTGAAAGAAGCACATATTAAAATAATGCAATTAAATCATCCGGATAAAGGTAATTATATATATATATTAATAATTATATAAATGGTTAGGAGGATCACCTTTAATAGCTGCAAAAATTAACGAGGCAAAAGATTTATTAGAGTCAAAATAATATATAATTGTTGATAATATGTAAAATTATTTATGATGTTTATGTTCTTGGATATTTATATATATGCCAAATTTGGTTCAGAAAATCAGAAATAAATGCAATAAGTCTTAACATTATTATCATAACTAATTCTAATTATTAAGTCTTGTGAATCTATATTATTATTTAATTTGGCTGTTACTCGTTTTATTTTGGATGTTGATTAAATTGCTATTAATAATAGCCATAATATATTTTTTTAAATTTACTATTTTCTACACCAAAATTAAAAAATATTTTAAGTGATTTAAGAGTCAAAATAAATGATTTTAATTAAATCCTTTTTCTATAAATCTGTTACATATTTTCATTATGTTCACATAATCATCCTTTAACAAATGGACATTTTTAATCAATTCTATATTTTGAATATTTCTATTAAATCGTTTTAATTTCCATAATCTAACCCATTCATCAATATCAAATTTTGAAATGTTCTCTATCAACTTATTTTGATAATTATATAGTTCATCACTATTGTATCTATCATGGCTTGTGTAAATATTTTGAGCTATTTGATTTTGAAATGATTGGCTAGGCGATTGTAGTGAATGCGAATATTTACAATTGTCGCGATATTTACAAATACCTGTTAAAAAATAGTTCATACATTGTTTAGATTTGGTAGTCTCAGGTAAAATATTATTTGGATATGTCAATCGGCTATAATATAAATTTTTGTTCCTTATATGACTAATACTGTTAAGATGTGATTTTCTATTATGTTGGCTATCCCTAAATGTTCTATTACAATGTTCACAAAAATATTTTCTACCCATGATTTATCGCATCACAAACTCGACATCCAAAAATAAAGTAATTGACATTTAATATATGATGTTGACAATCGTATATATTTGTATTTTCGAATTGAATAATTATATTATTCGAATATTCAAATTTTTTTTAACATTTACAATTTTCTAATTAAATTCATAAAATAAAATAATTAAGTTTTTTTGGAAGAAGGAATTTTTTTTCGTTGTACAATTTTGAGCGAGATCTAGCTCAAAAATTTGAGCAAGATCTTTGAAGATCGTAAAATTTGAAGATCTTTTATTTATAAAAAAATTTGAGCAACGATCTTAAAAGATCTAGATCTTTGAAGATCGTATAATTTGAAGATTTTTTAAAAATTTTGTGTAACAATCTTCATGATATTTATTTTTTTACCCCTTTATTAAAAGCCCAGATGTTTTTCAATTTTATTAATATATTATTTGTTTTATACCTATTGTCAATTTTTTGTGTTACAAATTACAATATATCTTCATTGAAATTTTAACTTAAATTTTTTTTACAATATTAATTTTTACCCATTTATGTAAAAATAACGATTAGAAAAATTATCGCTTTTCTGAATTTAACATTTTATTAATATTATAAATTAAATTTTTACCCTTCTGTGGTAAAACTTTTCTTGAAAACTTTTTTTATAAAATACGATTATGAAAATTGTCGGTGCATCTTTATTGAATTTATATTTTAATTTAACATGCTTAAAAAATAAATCATATTTTTTTCTTTCAACAAGGCAGGAGGAGAGGTATAAAAAAATATTATATTAATAAAATTGAAAAACATCTGGGCTTTTAATAAAGGGGTAAAAAAAATAAATATCATGAAGATCTTTGAAGATCGATACACAAAATTTTTAAAAAATAAAAGATCTTCAAATTTTACGATCTTCAAAGATCTATTTTTATTTTGAGCAAATGTACAACTCTGATTCTATTCCTTCCTTTGCATTACTCACTACTAACACATATATATGGCTCAAGTGTAGTTCCCCTTATATACTTCATACCTTGGTTACAAGGTTTGTTGGTATCCTTGAGTAAAAAAATCGACATAATTATATGGAGGATGGGCCTTCATATAATTCACGTACGCTCACCTTTGGGCATGTCTATGACCAACGTGCAAATAAAGATAAAGAATTGTATTATTCATACGAATTGAATATTTCGTATTTATATAAATAAAAATATCCGATTTGATTAATCGAATATTCTATTTGATTTTCGATTCAAAAATCAAATTTTTAAAAATAAAATAAATATTTAAATGTGATTAACGCTGACGATCGGTGCGGTATTTAAAACAATCGAAATCACAGCTGATTCTTCACAACGATAATAATTTAGAATTATATGTCGCAACATATTTTTCAAATGTTATAGCGAATCATCATTTCGCTCCATATTTATAAATTATATCCATCTATTGGCTTCATTTTGTAAATAACCTTGTGTTAAATATCACACCGCTTAAACAAAACACCTTTACTATAAATTGCCTTTACAGTTGTGGAAAAAATAGCAGGGATGAAACCAGAACCCTCTAATTTCGCTGAACCCAAACTCCAACCATTTTTTTAAATTTAGGGTTCAGGGTCCAAGCTTTTTTTAAAAAATTATATGTTAAAAATAATATATAAACAGGTAATTTACGATTTTCATTTATAAGTCTTATTTATAACAATTGTTTATATATTTAAAAAAATAATATTATTTTAATGCATTTTTTGATCAATTTTTTGTGGAATCATTTTTATTATATTGAGTCGGCCATTTTTCGTAAAAAATTTTTTACCAAGCAAAGCAATTTAAAATTTTTTTTTATAAATGATTTTCACCGAACAAAAATTTTACCTTTCCAGATACAATAATTTTTATTTTTTTAAAAATCAGAAATCTCAATAATGATCATTTATATAAAAACAAAATCCAAATTGATTGACATTCCTTATAATATATTATTATTATTTAAATTATTTAATTTCCATTTTTAACAACTGCGACATTGATGATAATATATAATAATATCTATTTTAGGATATTGTTGTTTGTGGATTATTAAATTGTCAGTAGGACAAAGAGAATTACAAAATCACGTGGTACAATATTTTTTAAAAAATGTAAGTTTCAAATTATCAAATATAATTTAAATGAAATAAATGCAATTAAAAATATATATATAAATGGTGGCTATATATTTATAAAGTAAATTTAATATTCATATATAAATTTTCTAGTATATATCATAATTAAATTATAATTAAAATAAGGTAACATCTGTTAGCTATTTTGTAATTGCAAATTTAGATGAAAAATTAAGGATATATGAGCCGATTATTTTCAATTTAATGATAAGGGAGATTCTGTATGTAGAATATGTGATGTAGTATTAGCAGGGAGACGTAATAGCAATTTTGAGTGACATATTAAGAGGAAACATTCAAAACAATTTGATGAATGTGTATTTAGGTAAAAAAACGAAAATCACAGAAATTTCGACTATGACCTCGGCTATTATCAAATCTGATATATAAGAATATAATATTTGTTGTAGTTTTGTATTTTTGTTATATATTTATATATATATATAATGATATATATGAAATGTTAATCAAAAGTGATCTTTTGGAATTAGTTTTTTTTGTTAGTTGGATAGATGTAAAAGAATGATCATATGTTGCTTTGTCTATATTTGGATTATTCGATAAAAATTATTGTTTTTTATGAAAAATAGAAATTTTTAGTAATTTTTTGGGTCTTATTATTATTATTTTTATATTACTTCTATAATTAACCCTTCAATACTCCGGTGAAAAAAATGACGATAGTACTCGGGTGGGGTTTAATAGACCCCATTTTCAAATGTATATATCTCTAGTTATATTCATTATTTTTATTTAATATTTGGATATAAATAGAACTAACCTTAAGCTTGATAAAAAATATTAAATTTAAAAAATAACTTATCTATCATATAATCATCATAATTCATAATATGGATCTTTATTCTTCAATATAAAAAAAAATTACACTAATACATTCAAACATAAAAAAAAATATATAACATTGAAATATGTTAAATCTGACATGTTATACATTTAATACATAAAACAAATATTTAGTTTTTTTATTTTGATGGGTAGATTTAATTCCAGCTAAATAAAGATTTCCTAATAATGTCTTGGATTGTGTTACATCAACTTCTTTAGTAGAACTTTCATATTGGTCAATATTGTTATTACATATAATTTTAATTTTTTCAATGGTATGATAAATAATCTCTTCAATCATTTTTGGTGTTATGAACAAGTCAAAACATTTTTCTGAAGTGTCAGCTTCTTTCTCTTATTCTTTTACTCCTGGCAAATGTATACTAAATTTTTTTGATGAGTTCTTATTCTTTGATTAGGAAGATCCGTTTTCCACTTAGTAAACTAAATTTTTTTTAGCTAATTTTAAAGAGAAATATACTATGATAAATGATTCCTTATTTACCTAAGTCACGAATGGTTCATTCCGCTGGTATAAGTTCAAAGATTCTGGAGGATTAATTAACGAGCTACACATTGGCATAATTTTCGGTAATTGATCCTCGTTTTTTAAAAATTCCTCTAACTTCACGTATTTAAAACAAAGGTTATAACTCGGTAACTGTTAGTGATACCGATATCCGGGTTAGAGATTTTTAATGCACATATTGAATGCTAAATAATTGCCAAGTTTCAAAACATAATCTTTTTTATTATCGGTTTTGGCAAAGTGCCAACATTTTTATTTTGCTCATAACTCATGAGCGGTTTATTCCGCTGGTATATGGTTTAAAGATTCTGGAGAATCAATTAACGGGCTACACTTTGGCATAAATATCGGTAATTAATCCTCAATTTAAAAAAAACGCTAACTTCACGTTTTTAAAACGGTTAGTTGCGGTTAGTGATACCGATATCCAGCTTAGAGATTATTAATGTACATATTGAATACTACATAATTGCCAAGTTTCAGATCATTATCTTTTATATTTTCGGTTTTGGCAGTGCCAACACTTTCTTATTTTGCTGATAACTCAGTAACGGTTCATTCCGCTGCTTTCCGGATAGAAGATCAATTAACGGGCTAAACAATGGTAGAGGGTTCGGTAATTGATCCTCAAGTCGTTCCGCCAGCTTAAATAATCCCGCCAACTTCACGTTTTTAAAACAATTATAACTCGGTTACCGTTAATGATACGGATATGCGGTTTGGAGATTATAAC